CAGCTCCTTCAGAGTTAGTTCCTTAGTTGCCTGTCAATTCCCCCCTTTCTCAGTCACTGGTAGACAGTTGTCTCTACGCAGAGTTGTGGTTGATCCATATGCTTACCGTTTTGTAATAATGGATTTAGCAGTGCTCTGGAGGAAGTTCAGGTGTACTTTGGGAGATTTTATTTATTGGAACCCAATCCTGATAGGTGCTTCTGCACAACTTTACCTTGGTGGTATGTGAAAGCTCCTCAGTCTTCAAGATGCTGTTTGCTTACATATGCTCTCCAACAAGCTCTGGAGCTTTCCTAACAAGTGTATTTAATCTGGGGTCATGTGGCAATGAAATTGCACACAAGTGGAGTCCACTCAATTAGTTACAATGTGTGACTTCTAGAGAATGTGGGTTGTACCAGAGCTTATTTAGGCATGTTACAGCAAAGGTGGTGAATACTGGTGCATCCAACAAGTTTGCTTAACTTCTGTGCCACAAGAAAATATTTTGCACCTTCACTGAGCTGTGTAACTCATATATATAACATGGAAAGAATGCCAAGTAAATCAGTTCCAGATTGTAACACAATAAAATGTGGAAAAGTCAAGAGAGGTGAATATTTTAGCAAGGATCTATCATGATTACTACTTCAGGTTAGCAGGTTAAACGGTAACACTTGTTTCTAGGATAGTTTGCATTTATAATTGAAAACTAAAGGTCAGGTTTCAGGAGATTGAAACCTTTCTCAAAGCTCTCTGTATTATATTTGAGGAACTTATGCATTTGGAAATGAACACCACTGGGCTGAATGGAGCTTACTGCAATATAAATGTATACAGGATTGTGATATGCCACAAAAATTTAGTGTTTGTGATGTGAAATTTTTTATTCTGTTTTGTTGTACAAGTACTTAATACACAAAATTAGACATATAGCCTATCCACCTTTTCCTACATGTTGACGTTTGTACCAGAATACAGTGTAAACAGTTTTAATATTTGTGTGTGTAGGGATAATAACCCTAAAAACCTGAAAGAACAAAATTATGAAAGCTGTAGAATGAATCAGGGAAAGAGAGAGAGAATTTGTTTTGATCAAGCCATTTAAACTCTGGCAGTGGAATCCTACACATATATACTCAGAAGTTAATCTCACTGATTTAAATGGGACTTACTCCTAGATAAGTACATACAGAGTTATATAAAGCCTGAGTTATGTAATGTCATAAGTTTCTATTGGTAAGTGCATGTAATACTATTGAACCATTGTGGCTGGATTGACCAGCACACACCAGCCACATGACTAACAAATCCAAGCATGATATATAGACCTCTGTGCCAAACTATGATCTTCAGCTTGTGAAGTTGGAACACATAAGTGTGTTACACCTTATTCATTCTTATATTTAAAATTATTTTGTTGTTGTTGTTGTTAGTCGCAAAGTTGAGTCCGACCCATCGCGACCCCATGGACAACATTCCTCCAAGCCTTCCTGTCGTCCACCATCCTCCTGAGTCCACTTAAGCTCACACCGACTGCTTCAGTGACTCCATCTAGCCATCTTATTCTCTGCTGTCCCCTTCTCCTTTTGTCGTCAATTGTTCCCAGCACTAGGGTCTTTTCTAGTGAGTCCTCATTAGGTGGCCAAAGTACTTGAGTTTCCTCTTCAGTATCTGACCTTCTAAAGAGAAGTCAGGGTTGATCTCCTCTAAGACTAACTGGTTTTATCTCCTTGCAGTCCAAGGGACTCTCAGGAGTCTTCTCCAGCACCACAATTCAAAGGCCTCAATTCTTCAGCACTCAGCCTTCCTTATGGTCCAGCTTTGACAGCCATACGTTGCAACTGGGAAAACCATAGCCTTGACTATGCGCACTTTTGTCGGCAGGGTGATGGTTCTTCTTTTTAGTATGCTGTCTAGATTTTCCATAGCTTTCCTTCCAAGGAGCAAGCATTTTTTTTATTTCTTGGCTGCAGTCACTGTCTGCGGTGATCTTGGAGCCTCCATTTCTTCCCCATCTATCTGCCAGGTAGTGATAGGACCAGATGCCATGATCTTAGTTTTCTTAATGCTGAGTTTCAAGCCACTCTTGCACTCTCCCCTTTCACCCGCATCAAGAGGCTCTTTAGTTCTCTTCACCTTCTGCCATTAGAATGATGTACCTTTTTAAAGGTGACCTAAAATAATTTTGCCTCAAAAGGCAAAATTATTTTAGGCCACCTTTAAGAAGGTAGATCACCTGTATTTTTTAGTTTTGCTGTAATATAATGATTTTAATGTATATATTTTAATATAACATTCTACTTATGCAGATTAATGTAAACCTCAGAGATTTACATTAATTGACATAGAAGAATTAAGTGACATAGAAGAATAAATAAATTCAGTGTCATAAATGTTAAGTGAAGGGGGAAAACAGAGAGAAGGAAAGAGACAGTCTAGAACAGTCTTCTACAATTCAGTATCCTCTAGATGTTTTGGACTACAGCTCCCATCATCCTCAACCAGAGGAAACGAAAGGAGGAAGTGAAAGTGTAAGACATAGGAAATGAATAAATTAAGAAGGCAAAGGGAAGCAGGCAGTTGGCAAAAAGAAAAAGAGGAAGATGACATTGTAAATCTCATGTTATAGTTGCTGTGAATTGTTGGTATCTTGTCTTAAATGGCTGAAGATTAATGCTCCAGTTCACTAACTATGCCTTAAGGCAAGACCATCTATACATTATTTTACAGAAACACATATCTCCCTGAAATATGATCATCCTGATAAGAATAAACTGCCACCATAGAAATCAAAGCACAGTTTAATAAGGTAGTTTTGATAGTGTGAATCTAATTATACCTGTTAAATGGCACAATAAATGGTCCAAACTGCTCCTGTTTAAATTCTGGTAGTGAATATATGTTTACTCTAGACATCAGAGGGTTGTCTTCTGAATTGTATGATCCTTTTTTGTTTTGTTTTTACTAGAAACTTGAGATATAACAATTGGAGGCTGATGCAAGAGGCATACACTTAGAAGTGACAAATTAGGAAATTGAAACTTTGTTCTGAGTATCTGAACTGAACAGAACTCTTCTAACATTCCTTCCATGCAGTTATCTATTCCAGTTATCCCAAATATTTTCCACTTCAGCAGTATAACACAGAGCTTGGAATGTTGCTGCTACTCCTAAATATTTGGGGATGGATTTGGCAGATTATCCAGAGCTCTACCTTCTGCCAGCCTCTGTTCTAAAGCCAACATGGCTGGCTGGGGCATGCTGGGAGTTGTTGTTCTTTTTTCTGGCTAAAAATGCATAGTATTGCTCCCAAAGTCATTGTTTCTATTTATCCCTTTATGAATTTGTGAGGATGCCTGTATATCTGCTGTTTGCCTGAGCTGTTCCCTGTGTATGATGTGCCTGGTTCAATCCCACAGTCCTCTGAGAAGCACAAGATCTAGCATGCATTTGGCCTGAGTATTTGTGTATTCCCCAGTTCTCAATAGTAAGAGAAGGCTAAATTCACTTAGCATACAAAGAATTCAATTGAAGGTAGTCCATTGTTAATCTTTTATAAATAATAATGATTTCTGAGACAGGTTTACCAACCATCTTGTATTGTATTATTTACCTTCAAATATGTGTGTGCATGAGTGTGCACATGTATGTAACATTGATAGACTTGCTATTATTTATTAGATTTATTTCCCAGTTTTTCTTATGGACTCATAGCAGCATGCATTAGTCTTCTCTTGCTCTCAATCTTATCCCCACAGCAACCCTCTGAGGTAGGTTGGTCTGAGCATCTGTGACTGGCCCAAAGTCACCCAGTTGGCACTATGGCCAAGAGGGGACTAGAAACCAGATCACCTGAGTCTCAGACCCACGCTCTTAACCACTACACCACAATTATGCTGTAATAAACGATTTAAGAACTGTCAGCTACCTGCTTTGTATAGATTAGCAACACCACAGATACAAGTTTTCATGGAAATATCACATAGTATGCATATTATTAATCTAACTCTGTGCACTCTTAGTACTGTGCAGAAGGTAGCAATGGTAAATCACTTCTGAGTGCACTGGAATGGGACATTTTCAGTAAAAACTCAGATGAAACAATGGCTCAAAATACTGAGGCAAGATATAGCACAGGCGATAAGTGGCTATAATGCAGAGTCTGACCAAATAATATCAGTAACATTTTCAAAAGCCTATCAACCTGACCATCACCCAAGTCTATGCTCCAGCAAAAGATGCTGAAGAAGAAGAAACAAAAAACTTGTATGGAGGTAATTCGAAAGAAATTCATAACATACGCCGTTAATTATAGGTGAGTGGAATGCAAAATTAAGAAACAAAGCAGAATCCAATGTTGTGGGAGAATTTGACTTAGAGGTCAGAAATGAAGTAGGAAAACAATGTCTAGAATTCTGTGAAGCCAACCATCTGGTTGTTGCAAATAAGTATTTCAGGCAACTGATCAAATGACTGTACACATGGACATCATCAGAGAGCCAATACAGAACTCAAATAGACCACATAATTGGAAGCAAGGGGTGGAGATGTTGCATTCACATTGCAAAAACAGAAGCAGATTGTGGGAGTGAACATGAACACTTAAAATCAGGGGAAAGCTGATAAAGATCAGTAACAGAAGCATAGTGCCAAAAATAAACTTAAGTAACATTCCTGAGGAATTTGAAGTCCACATAAAGAACAGATTTGTATTGCTGAACTCACTTTGTATGAATGTGGAAGGTAAACAGTGAAGAAAAGGAACAGGAAGAAAATAGACATATGAAATTTGAATACCCTGGTCAGACAGAAAGATAAGCAAGTGGGCCTTTGCCTCCACTCCTTTCACGGTTTCATATAGACATCTGAAGTAAAAAAGGAAACTGCCATGTATCACTCTAATTATCTGTATCTATGGCTCTCTGAGGAGCTCTGTGGACGCAGAAGTGAGGTCACTCTACAATTACTATCTCTATATTGAAGCTTGTATTTCTTGCAAGTTGGGTCGGGTTCCATTGCATTTCGGACCGGAAATAAGGTGAAGTCTGAAGGATCTACGCTCAGAAGAGCGGCAGTTCTTCCTGTTTATGTGGGTTTTTGTTTTTCTTTTGGACCTGGACAGGCTGTTACTTGCCGGCGACATTCAGCGAAACCAAAACCGCTCCACGTGAAATTGGATGTGTAAGATTCACTGATTTATTTCTTATTTTTATTTATTTAGGAAGCACTAAATTTGTCAGATGTGTGAAGAAAAATAATTCAATGTAAATTACAAATACTTAGGATGAGTGTGTCTTGTAGTGGAAAGTAATTCATAGTGGTAGTTTCAGTTTGCTCATTCCGAGCAACTTGCAACTTAAAAAATACCGAAAAGATAAAGGAAATCATGGGCATGATATAGCCAGAATTTAAGAACTTTTAAAGAGCATTTATTGCAACAGGAAGTTTAATGTGTGCTTAACCTCTAATGGAAAAGAATGGGATTTTAAGATTGCAGTCTTAAGAAACACTTATGCACACTTACCTGGGAATACATCCCATTGACATGTCTGCTTCTGAGTAGACATCTATAGGATTGCTGTAAGCAAGGACTAATCGTTATTGGATTGTGCCCATGATTAGCAAACTTGATTTAATTGAGTTTTGGTTCCCAGTTCCCTGGTCAACACAGAGATGCATAAGCAGCTTGAATAAGGCTGCCTTCATTATATTCAGTTTGGACAACTGTCATACATGCACTATCTTGGACCACTTTGGAAAACTGTTTGGAAACTGAAGCCGAGCTGTTGACTAAGCCCAGTTACAGGAAGCATGTGACTCCCTTGTTGCAACAGCTTTGCTGACTACCTGTCTGTTCAAAGTGCTGGTTAAGCTCAGTCATAAATGAATGCAGGGGCACAGTGCTTGAGAGCATTTTGCACAGAAATTAAGCTTTGGGAAAGACATAATTGCATAACTGGAAAAGAGGATATTCTCCAGCTGCCAGACACAATGAGTTAACCCACAGCTTGTTTTGACTTGCAAATAATATTTGTTGGATAGGGATATCATGGGTGAAAGTTTATCTTCTGAATGTGCTGAAGGATCTTGCTGGGACAATCTTCCAGCAGAAAGCATGTATAATTTACAGATGTCCTAAAGCTTACTTTAGAAATCAGATTTATGCAATCTGCTGTTTATTCAGGTTGACTCTGCACAGTAGTGTTTATTTTTTATTTATTTGACTTATATTCTACTTTTTCCTTACAAGAACTCAAGGTGGCTTACAGAGAACATGTATTACTAAGTGGATTAAAATATAATAAATAAATGGAAATTAGCATTTTAAAACCAAGTGAAAAAAGCATGCAACCAAAAAGGACATCACAACCAAGATTAAAACTTGTAAGTGTCCTGAGATCTTGTATAATATGATGGCATACAAAAGCTTTCAATAAATAAATAAATAAATAAATAACCAACCAATTTCTGTGACAGAAAATCCATGATTATACAGCTTTTCTTTGGCTGCATCCTGGCCAAGATGGTATGTGTCCTATTTATTTATTTATGTATTTATGGATTTATATCCTGCCTTTTTCCTACAAAGGGCTCAAGGCAGCTTACATCATTCTCCTCCTCCATCTTATCCCCACAACATCAACCCTGTGAGGTAGGTTGGGCTGAGAGTCTGTGACTGGCCCAAAGTCACCCAGTTGGCTCCATGGCTGAGCAGGGACTAGAACCCAGATCATCTGAGTCCCAGTCCCAGGCTCTTAACCACTACGCCACACTGGTCCTAGAGTTCTTATAGACTCAAATATGAACTTGCTGATCGTCTTAGAAAATATTGAATATAATTGTATACAGTTCTGGTTGACTGATCTGAAAAAGGATGTTATTAAGTTGGACAAGGTTCAAATTAGGGCAACTAAAATGATCAGTGGGCTGCAACAATTCTGCTATGAGGAGCGGCTACCACAGTTAAGAAAAAAGCTGTTTAGCTGAGGGAAAAAAGGCAAGTAAGGGGAGACATGACAGAGGTGTTCAAAATAATGCATGGTGTGGAAAGGAAGGCATTTTTCTCCTCCTTTCATCACTATAAAACCTAGCATCTCATGAAGCTGATTGGTGGGAGATTTAGGACTGAGGAAGTACTTCTTCACAGAGTACATGGATAAACTTTGGAATTCACTGCCGCAGGAAGCCTTGATGGCCACCCATTTGGATGGCTTTAAAAAGGAAATTGGCAGATTCGTGGAGAAAAGTATTAGTGGCTACTAGACTGTCTGGTTACATACTACCTCCTTTACCAGAGGCAGCATGCCTGTGTACCCCAAGTGTTGAGGAGCTTGGGCAGGCAGAGATCTGGTACTCGTCCTATTTGAGGGCAACAGGTTTGCCACTATGTATAAAGGGTGCTGGACTAGAAGGACCATTGGTCTGACCCAGAATGGCTTTTCTTATGTTCTTCCCACACTAGAGACATTCAAATAGAAACTGGACAACCACCTGAGAGGGATGGTGCAACATGGTGTGCTGCAACAGCAGGAGGTTGGACCCAATGGCCTTCATGGCCCCTTCTAGCTCTGCTATTCTATGATTCTTTACCTGTGAACAAATTGCACTGAACTCAGTGCTTCTGGGTAGATATGAAAAACTGCACTGCTAGTCTTGTTCTTCAAATGTTCAATCAGCTCATATGTTGATTGATCGATTGATTTATATCCTGCCTTTTTCTTACAAAGAAGCCAAAGTGGTTTATCTCATTCTCCTCCTGTTTGCCATCTCACCCCCACAACAACAACCCTCTGAGGTAGGCTGGGCTGTGACTGGCCCGAATACCAGTCTGGTTGGTTCCCTGACTGAGCGGGGACTAAACCCAGATTGCCTGAATTCCAGTCCAATCTCTTAACCACTACACCACACTGGCTGTGATGTGTACTAAAGTCCATATCTATGTGTTTGCACAAGCAGATAAAAAAGCATCCAAACAAGGGATTATGGTGAACTGTGGCCAAACAATGCAGGCTCAAAAACTTGCTTTAAGACAGAGTTTCTTGGTTTAAGAATCAACCATTCCAGGTTTGCTTACCCGCTTGTGTGAAGCTGCACAGGCTGTGTGCACATGCATGCAGATCATTCACAGCATTCTTTATTAAGCCAGAATACTTGGCTTATCATTATGTGTGAAAACTCCTAAAGTGATATGCCTCTGAGTAAAAATGACCAAGGGGAAATCTTGGGCAGTATTTCCATCGCTATCCGGCATGCCCATGTCTAGACTTATGTGTGAAGAAGAGCTAGACCACAGTTCATTTATTCCTGGCCCAAGTCATAAAAAGATTCCTTTTTAAAAAGTGGCTGACAAATATATAATAAGGCCATCTATAGGCTTCTGTACCTTGCTCTTTCTGCCATGCTAAATGATTAGATAGCCAATGTCAGCCCCCTAAGTATTCGGCCTCAGGGCAGGTAAGGAGTATGAGATGCCCTAAGGATGCTGCAGTTCTTTCCGCACCTGCTGTGATGGCAGCCAGAGGGCACTTCCAGGTTCAGAGACCCAGCTCTGACCTTGGAACAAGTTTCTGAGGGCAATACTGGGATTCCAGAAAATCCTGCAGCCATCTAAACTCTCTCTAAAGGCCATAGGATTGTGTTCTTACATAATTAGCTGAATCCTCCTTGCATGTATTAACTTTAAAGAAAAGGTTTTCATAAGAAAGGGGAATATATCAGAGAATAAAAAATAAGACCCAGTTAGAGAATAGCTTTGTGGCAATCACATAATTTTTCAAAAAACTATAGCAGTGACATGGTTTTCACATAACACTAACCAATTTGGAACATAGGGTTCAAGTGGGGAAAAGAGGAGAGAAAGAAACAACCCAAGGACTGAGAAAGCAGTGCATAATGGTTGTAATCTGCCCAGGGAGCCATGTGTCTAGCGGGGTGGTTTAGAAATTAAATAAATTGTTTGTTTGTTTGTCTGCCATACAAACCAGGGGTATGACAGTAAACCATTGGTTAAATAAACTGTGGCTTAGCATTGTGTGTGAACCAATTGTATTTGTGCCTTTGCGAGGGATAATTTTATTTTTTTTTATCAAGTATCTGATAAGGCATGAAGAAGTATAACTTTGAGGAAATATGATGATCACTTGCAATAGATTTGCTATCTTATTTTTTAAAGGTAAAAATAACTGAACACAGTAAGTAGAAAGGGGTACTTCAAATATGGAGGAAGATGCTGAACCTCTTCTAATCCCTGTTGGGAATGATGAAACTGATGTTGGAATTCTCAATATTCAGTTTAGCCCTGAAGACCTGAAATGGAAAAGGTAAGGAGGAGAAATGCTTAACTCTACTCTTTGATAATATATTATGGATAGATTTTTTCCTGCTCAAATTCTCTTGTCAACACAATGATTAAAGGTGGAAGAACCCTATTATCCTATCCAAGAATCCTGTTAAAAATCGTTAGTAGCCCTACCTATTTATATCTTGTCTGAACATTCAATGTGCTGCAGTTTTTAATATTGCTTTTAAAAAAGCATGCTAGAACTGATGTATGCATATTGGCAGAAGAAGTATAAAGACTGGAGACCAGTGTTAGGTAGTACTGTATTCAGTAGTGGTTCTGAGTTTGGGCTTAATTCTGAAACGTGAAAAAGGGGTGTGTGTGAGCATCTGCAGACAGCATTTCCCTCATCTCTGAGTAAGCACTGGGTGTCCTCCTGCCTCCAAATCCTCTGCCTTGTCCTAACATTACCAGTGTGTAGAATGCAGATTTCTAAGGGAAGTAACAGCAATGCTACAGATGCCATGGAGACCCTTGAACATCACTTCAGTTCACTGTCTTACCACTATAACTTGTTATTGCATTGGAGCATTTCTACACGAGTTCGTTGATTGCTGTGTCTACTTTTGGTTTTGCCATAGCACTGAGATCCAAGCTTTACTTCCTTTCCTGATTTTCCATTAAGCAGCCTCTAGATAGAACTGTGCTATAGCAGAATAGTACAAATACATCAGGAGAAAGATCATCATTTTCTCTGTTGTAATTTGTTGTTGTTGTTGTTAGTCGCGAAGTCATGTCTGATCCATCGCATCGCAACCCCACGGACAACATTCCTCCAGACCTTCCTGTCCTCCGCCATCCTCCAGAGTCCACTTAAGCTCACACCGACTGCTTCAGTGACTCCATCTAGCCACCTCATTCTCTGCCATCCCCTTTTTCTTTTGCTGTCAATTGTTCCCAGCATTAGGCTCTTCTCTAGTGAGTCCTTCCTTCTCATTAGGTGGCCAAAGTATGTGAGTTTCATCTTCAGTATCTGGCCTTCTAAAGAGCAGTCAGGGTTGATCTCCTCTAGGACTGACTGATTTGATCACCTTGCAGTCCAAGGACTCTCCGGAGTCTTCTCCAGCATCACAATTCAAAGGCTTCAATTCTTTGTCGCTCAGCCTTCCTTATGGTCCAACTTTCACAGCCATACATTGCAACTGGGAAAACCATAGGCTTGACTATGTGCACTTTTTCAGCAGGGTGATGTCTCTTCTTTTTAGTATGCAGTCTAGCTTTACCATAGTTTTCCTTCCAAGGAGCAAGCGTCTTTCACTTTCTTGGCTGCAGTCCCCATCTGCGGTGATCTTGAATACCTCATTTTTCCCGTTCTGACAAAGGCTTATAAAGTACATAGATCAAAAGAAATTATGTCACAGTAGATTTGATGCCCTATCCCCACTTTTTCAGACTTTAGCCCCCACTATCTGGTGTCCTCCATATGCTTTACACTTTAACTACCATAAGCTGGAGACTGTGCCAATGGACAAGAAATGCTGGGAACTGTTGTGCAAAATATCTGGAGAGCAATAAATTGAGGAAAAATCTCTCTGCTTTTTGAAAAATGTAAATAGAAATCTAAACAAATTTTTGTGGCAGAAAATTGAACCAATTTAACTCAGGGCAACCTCTGAATAAACAAGCTTGGGATCATGTTGTAAGAGAACAAGCTGGAGATTAAAGCCCCTTCGCTGCTTTTTCCCCTCATTTTTACAACTAAGAATGCCTGCTTGGTTTATTAGATTAGGAACATCTACATTTTAAAATGTAAATAGATTAAAATTTAACCCTTTCAGAAATAAATTAACTACTATGTAATCTGTATGTGTTTGCTGTCTGCCAATTCTGGATAAAGGGCTACTGAGTTCTTGTTTCTCTTTTAGGCCATTCCACGTAGAGCCTACAAATATTGTTGGTGCAAGTGATGATTCGCAGAGAGTTTCTGACGAAGCTTCCGCAATGAATAAGCGGATTCACTACTACAGACGTCTCACTTCACCTTCAGATAGAAGATTGGTAAGAAAAATAAAGGTTTCTGCAAATTTCAGCTGTGGGGGCTGACACCTCTGCCGTGCTCTTTCAGATCAATCTCTCTCAGATGGCAGCACTCTGTCTGATCATTTTTTGAATAGGATGAGTAGAGCAACCACTTCAGCCAGTTTAGTGTTTATTAGTTAGAACTAAGAGAATCTGGAGGGAAAGAAGCTTAATGGTTGAGATGTATGGTGGTCTAACAGGCAAGTTCGATGAGTAAGGAGAAAATGCTTTCAGAAGTAACACTATTATCATCTTTCTCTGAAGCTCCAGATCTGTTTGTCGCATTGGTAGCAACACTGTCTCTACCATGCTAGTCAAGATTTTTTTTTACTGTAGGACATAAAATGCATTCTGAAAGTTGCTTAACCCATGAATGTTGGCCCTCTTTCAGCTTGTAGCTTAAACCACTAAACCTTAAGAGAGGCATTGCAGCCCTTTAGAATAAGGGAAAAAACTACAAAAAAGCTGAAAAACCACCAAATGATTGGTGACAATAGGAAAAGTGGGTGAGGCTGGGAAAGGGTCACTTGGGAAATCTCAAAGGGCTGCATTTGAACCCTGAGTAACCCTACCTTGAAGATTACCAGAGTGTAGTAGGGTGTAGATGGACCACCAGCCAAGACATTCTGTGACACAGAGGCCAGCTGAGTCTCCACTGACAAAGATGGTTCCAGGACCTCTAAACTATGAACCTATTCTTTCAAGGGGAGTGCAATCCCACACAGGACAGGTGTAACACCCTCCATCCAATCCGAAGAAACACCCTTCAACAGCATCTCATCCTTGTTTGAATTGTGTTTAGGTTTATTACACCTTCATAATACCAGTTTCATATATCCAGACTATTGGATTATGGCATAAAATGTGCCATACAAACAAAAAAGCATTTTATTACATGAAATATACATTTCTCAGCCAGTCTATGAACCTGATTCAGTTGTATAACATGTTAAAATGTGAGGCTTCCATGGACAGAGTTCACAGGTGTAGTTCTACAGGGCAGCATTTTATATTGTTTGCAAAAAAAGTAATTGAATCTTCATGCAGGTTGTGAACCAGGTTGTAGAACCTCAGTTGTAGGAGCAAAATATGACCCTTCTGGGTTGCCAGTCCAGTCCACCAGTGTTCTCCAGATGGCCATGTGCTTCTTACCCTACATTCCTTCTATAAAATAAGCTTGCATTTTGGCTCAACCTCTTTTGCCTTCAGCTCCACCCATCATTGGAATATGGCCGCTGAGAGCTTCTCCAAAATGGAATTTGGGCTTCAGGCTGAAAGAGGTTCAGCACCCCTGCTGTTAACCACTAGAGGATGCCTTAAACAACTGTTTCACATTTCATTGCTGGTAATGTTTGAGGGGCAGACAACTAGAATAGTGCAAACTTGTTTGACGCAAACATGGCCTTGCTCGATCTGGTGTCTTTCAGATGTGTTTGACTACAACACCCATCCTACCTAGCTAATCCAACACATCATGAGTTGTAATTCAGCCCATTGCTAGGACAGCAGATTGGGGAAGGCTGTGTTAGTCCTTTGATTTTATTGTCCAACTAACAGAAAAACTGGGGTAGAATGCAGTCTGAGCCAATATGGCCTGGCACTGAAGCCCTCTCTCACCAACATATTGTGGCACCATCAGAAAGGTCGACTCCAAGCATCTTTAGAGTGTGTTTCTCTTACTGCTGACAATGACCAAACTTCTTGTACCTAGATTTGTGAAGCAGAAGGGGTGTGGCGGTGGGAGACTCCTGCGTGGGAGCACCAGAGATGTGCATTGCAGCTAATGCTTTTTCTCATCTTTTGCTAGGCTGCTCCTGATCATGTAGTTCCTGCTCCAGAAGAAATCTATGTGTACAGTCCATTAGGAACTGCTCTCAAAATAGACGGTTTTAGCGAAGGTCATGAGAAAAACTCAAGCACAGTAACAATGTATGTCCAGTATTTTTGTAGATGCCAAGAGGGTTATTTTGGAGTTTGTCTGTTGTAAATTCCCATTTCTACATATACAAACAAAAGCAGCCTCTACTAATGTTAATTTTCTTTATTTTTTCATGTGTTCCCACCATCACTAGATTTATGATCTGGAATACAATGATGGGTACATCTATATTAAGTATTCCCTGGGGAATAAAACAGGTAAGGCAATGTTGTATGTATATGACTGTCTGTCTGTCTGATGCAGTTTAAAAACAACCAAGTTTCTCCATTAGAGAAAAAAAAATCAGATCTGAAACACTGACATTTTTTCAGTGAAATCCAAAAAGGTCCATAGCACTCCTTACATATATTGACATACAACAGAACACACTACCATTATTAAAAATAAATAGGCTATTATTTGTTTTTTATACTTATATCCTGCCTCTTTTGTAATCAAGGAGCTCAAGCGGCTTACATACTTCTCCTTCTCTCGATCTTATCCTCACAACAACAATCCTGTGAGGTAGATCGGGCTGAGAGACAGTGACTGGCCCAAGGTCACTCAGTTAGCTCCATGGCTAAGTGGGGACTAGAAGCCTGAGTCTCAGTCCCATACTCTTAACCAAAGCAATCCACTTGGGAAGAGGACCCAGAAATGAAGATTCCAGAACTGACTACGGAGAGGAATCTAAGGGGAAGAGCAAAATGTAGTGCAGATCAACGAAAAGGTTTGATGGAAAGGCCAGGGAGACTAAATCCAACCTTTTTAATCAAAAGGGGAATCCTTTTCAAGGATATTTGTGGAGTGGAACTCTAGAAAATTTACAAAACAAAACATTAGCCTTCTGGAAATATTTCCCAAGTATAAATAAAAGAATACTACATAAAACATAAAGAATTCAAGGTTTTACATTCTTTTAAGTGTATTACCCATCCCCATCATTCAATGTCCCTTGAGATCTCATTAATTAACCTATTCAAATTTAACATAATCATTTGTCATAACTTTCTTGGGACAAGTATTTGCAGATAAGCTATAAACTCTGCACAGAGTCTAAATTGATGATCAGGTAATGCACTATGGGATGTATTATCGCCAGTAGACATATATTCCAACTTTGACAAGTTAATGGATTAACCAGATAAATGTCCATACTGATTGATCATCTGCATCAAAGCCTGAACAGATGACTGCAATTTGTAAATAAACAATAGAAGATAATTAGCATAGAGAATAAGTTTATTTTTTAACCCATTATGTACAAATCAATGAATATTAAGACTTGGTTGAACAGAACTTGCCAGGAGTTAAATAACAATGGGGAAAGAGAACATCCATCTGGTACCTCTCAATGTTGAAAAAACCCCCAAAAGAAAACCTCAGGACTGCATTATTTTATTTTATTTGAGATGGTCTATCATTTTATAATTTTATATTTTTTAATAAACTGTTTTATTGTAATTTATCTGTGTGTTATGTTCTATTATTATAAGCCACCCAGAGAACCTTTGCATTATGGGGCGGCATAGAAATTGAATTAAATAAATTAGTGTTAACTCTTGTCTAAGAGCTTAATATAAAATTTAATCCATTTCTGAAATTCTGGGAAAACCAAAAAACTCGTATATATAGCAAAGAAAATTACGAGTACACAGACAGCATGATCTCTGAATATGTTATAAGAATATTTTCATGTTAAATCTTACACAATAGCTTTGATTTGGATTAACACCACCATTTGCTAATGCATTTAATTACAAAACAATTTCATTTTTAAACAGGCAGGATTTACTACTGGAATTAGTATTATTATGCTAATGAGCATATTGACCCTTTACTGCTGCTACAGAGTTCTGAAATCCAGGACAATGATACGTAAGTCTATGTTTTTATTTATTTATTTAGAATATTTGTATGCCGTCCTTTCGCAAATCCTCAGGACGGCTTACATAAATAAATAAGAATAGTAGTATAAAACATTATACAAATAAATTCCAGATCCACGCTGGCTGCAGATTAAAACACATATAGCTAATATCAAAAGTTATTAAAATATTGTTGAAATAAAAAGGTCTTAGCCTGGCACCAAAAAACAAATAACGACGGCGCCAGGCAGACCCCTCTGGGGAGCGCATTCCATAGATGGGGTGCCACCGCAGAGAAAGCCCTCCTCCGGGTACTTTGCCTCCTAATGTCTTTCACGGAGGGTTCCCGGAGGAGGGCCTCTGCTGCCGATCTCAGGGGGCGGGAGGGCAAATATGTTGCAGTAAAATAAATACGTGTTTCTGCTGTAAGAAATTATTTGCACCGTGACTTGAGCCCTGCGAAAATGAAGCATTTTCTAAATGTGCAGTTAGTTGTAGACCACTGGCCCACTGTCTTGCCCCACATGAACTGAGAGCACACAGTGAAACTCCAAAAGCTTCCATATGACTGGATGTTGCAGGAGAAAACTGGTAGCAGTGACCAAGCTGTCTTTCAGGAAAAGAGACATTACCACACATTTATTGAGGGCTTCTCTACATGAGACTTTTAACCTGCTGCTTAAACTAATTACTCACAAGATGACGCTGCAGTCTAGCAGAATTGCGAAAATACACAGGCTTCTCAAAGTGCAATTTCTATATAGTAGCACGCTTTCTATGCTCTAAAAATTTTTTAAAAACCCTGTGGAACTGACTGTAAACCATAGGAGAGGCCTTAGAGAAGGATAACATATCACATGCAAACTACTGTGAAAGGAATCAGAAGTGCACAAGAAATGCCTTACCTGGATAAACCTTGAGTAACTCCACAACGTATCAGGCATTGTTACCTGATACCCTTGGGCAGCTGCCAGGACTCTAGCAGGGCTCTTACCAAACATTGGTGCCTGACTTTGGCCTTCTATTCCAATTGGCTAAATCTGGAAGCCACCATTTTAATTTCCCCCTATGCCTTAGAACAATGTTGAGCTGTAGGCATTGCAGGAAATGTGGACACATTTTGGGATTAGAGAAACTACTACAGGTGCCACTACAAAATGGTTCCCAAACAGCATGGCCAGTAACATAATGGTTGATGTGGTGGGGAGGGGGCTGGTTAGTCAAAAGTAAGCTAAAGACAAGTGGGAAAGAGAAATTAAGATGTTAGAGGCAGGGAGGAGGGAAAATAGCAAGCGGAAAGGAGGATAGAAGAACAAGACTAGAGGCTAAAGGGGTAAGAAACAACCAGGTAAAGGGGTAAGGAGAGAAATAATGAAGCTAGATGTTGGAATGGAGAGGGGAAAAGCAAGATGAAGAGGCAGAGGGAGTCAATGCTAGAGAGGAAGAAAAAAAATCTGTAATATTTTCCAAAGTTTTCCTGCCTGTCTTCAAACAATTTTTGAAGGGGGCAGCAAGTGGGGAGCTTTGTGGCAGCTGTTGGAGATCTCAGTGGGCATCACACTGGGGACCTCTGGTCTAAATATGAAGAAGATAGCATATATTGGGTATTTACCTGTCTTGAAAAGATTTATTCCCTGTACAGCTAACCATAAGCTCAGATGAGTAAGTCCTAGTATTAACCCTTTGCTTGATAGATGTCTTTCATATCTTTTTTCCAGCTGCAATAGATACTGGAACTTGGGAATTCCCAGATGTTTGCAAGTATTATTTTGGATCTTTTGGACAATGGACTAGCCTTTTATTTTCATTGATCTCTCTCATTGGAGCCATGGTGGTTTACTGGGTACTCATGTCCAATTTCCTTTTCAACACGGGGAAATGTATTTATAGTAAGTGCATTTTTTTTCTGTTAATTTCTTGCAGCTGGACCTGTTTTTTTACCTGACAAATAGATGTAATTGTTCACCCTCATTCTTGCATCATTTCAGTCTCTACATTTCCAAGCATTTAATTCTGTGTGTGTTTTAGAAAAGATTAGAATCTCACACAGTTTAATTATATAAAACTTGCCAGCTGCCTTCCTGTTTTTTGAATTTAAAAAACGAAAGAAAGGACCAGCACAGAAAGAACACTTGTAAGTTACCAAGAGAGTAATGGAGTTTCAAAAGGGAGATGAAGTGGTGGAGGAACTTCTGAAGCCTGGCTGGGCTTGTTCTGGAAGAGTGAAAGGAGTGGTAGCATTCTTCTTGCAGTCGTCTTCTTTTTCTTCTTTTGAGTGTAACCCCCCCCGCCTCAATTTGGAGGGATGTCAGGGGAACAGGTCCTTAGCCTCCACCCCCAGAATCGTTCTTCGTGACTTCACAACACTGAGGTACCAGCAATGGAGCAGAAGGGCAATTTCTGAACCCCAGTGAAGCGACTTTCAAAGCTGGATCTGATTCTCCACACATGGCTATCCCTTTCCATGGACTGAGAAGAAGATTCACTAAATCCTATGTTCTAGGAATCTTCCCAGGGACCATAGGATCCCCCAGGGACTCTCCTTGGGGCTACAGGATCACACGAGTGTGATAAAGTTATTTTATAAGCTGCTCTTCCACAGTGGGCTGTGCCTAAGCAGCTCACAATTATCAAAATCCAGCAGTAAGCAAATATCAGAATTGGAAACCATATCATCAGTTTCAAATAAAAAGTCAATTTCTTAATCATGGCACAGTATAAATACAAGATTACAGTGAAATAGTATCATCTATGGTTAGTACATAACAGTCAAACCCAGCAGCAAGTTCAGCTTTAAGTGCGTGTGTGTGTGCCTGTGTGTGGATATGTTGGGAGGTGGTTAGCTAATCCAGTCCTTGCTGTTAGTATACCCAGACACTGCAGCAGCCTGATTTTCAGTACAGGTTGAGATCTTGGGAGCAGGGTCTTCTTTCCAGACTAGATTGGTCACAGCTGGCTCTCTCATCTCAGGAGAAAACATGTTTTTAAAGAAATAAGAGCATTGTGATCTCATTCCCACTGGAGTCAGCCAAATAGCTTCTAGCCCTTCAGTTATCTCCTTGTTGAGCCCAGGCTTTTGGTTCTCTTACATCACAGTTGGACAGTTTTTTCACTTCAGAAAGTGGAATTCTCTGCTAGGAGAGGCAGGATCTTGTCTGAAAATGAGAAACCAGGTTATCCTTCAAAGCCCTTTTCACTTGAGAAAAATCTCTGATTTCAACAGACCAACTACAAACTTTATGTGAACAAGTGTTCCCCCCTGAGAAAATTGATTAAAATATACCCAGGTCCGTAGAGAACACATTCCACCTATAGATGTCTACTTAAGTGACAGATTGGCATTACTCATGCCAACTGCAATTAATTGCAGAGTGTATTTATTTAAAATGCATTAGGTTGGTGTTGGAGTAACCATAAAGTAATTACTTAATTACTTGTGCTTTATGACAGGAGTGAGCAGAAAGTATCTCTATAGATGTCATGGACTCTGAATCATATTATTACTGACCCCTGCTTGCAGGGGCTCTTAGGGGTTGATGTCTCCAAAAGCTGCAGATCTACCTCTTGACCACCCTTGTTTTATGAAATCATACACTTCCTTGCCTTCGCAAGACTATAAGAACAAATGCCTCCTGCCTGCTCTTACTTCATTTGGTATTGGTATCTTGGCAACAATAAGTACTAAAGCCAAATAGAATTTCTTCCTGTGCAGGATTTGAAGGCAGCTTCGTAACCGAGTTTCAGTTCCTTACTTAAAGTTGCTGCTAGAGCAGTTTGCTAACAATTTCTCCTTCCCTTGTGAAAATTAAAAAGAAAAAATAGTTATTCTCTGATAGTTCAGGGTAACATATCTTTGAAGAGGTGGGTAGGTTGGTGGCCAATAAATATATAGATTTATTTATAATGACTTTCTGAGTGTGTTTATCCTATTGTTTTGTTTTTTGCAGAATGTCATCATATTGTAATTATGAACATCTGTATTTTTTAAATTTTCTGTAAACTATTCTGGGAGCCATGTGTAGCTGTTGAACAATATATAAAAGAAATAAACAAATCATAATTTAGACAGGTATAACCAGTCCTTGGTTATCTGTTTTCTGATCATCTCTTGGTTAGACTCATTTAATGCATGGGTTTTCCTTTGAAGACTGTTTGCAAACTGCACTTGGTCTGGCATATGGCCACTAGCTTTCTAAGACTGGGTGATACAATCATATTACACCTGTGCTGTGCCCACTGCACTAGACCCCATCCTGTTTCTGGGCCAAATTCAAAGTTCTGGTTTTAACTTCTAAAGCCCTTTATGGCTTAGGAATGGAGTGTTAAGGTCACCTTTTTGCCTCAAAGCAAATTATCTGTTTTCTAATTGAATAACTTTTATCATGCAAAATTACAAACAAGTAAACCTGGCTTTAGAATAAGAATCATGCAGAGATCAAAAGAAAGAAACTGTGATAGAATTCTATATTAGGTTTGTTAATGCGACCCAACCAAATTGATTCCAGGCTTAGTAAAATTGACTAATGCCCTTCTCTTCCCAGTCAGTGATGTATGGGTTCAAACAAAATGATATGGTTTCAATGTATGCCCAAGTAAGTAAAATTACTCTCAAACATCTTTTAAAGTAGACCAAACTATCGCCTTATTGTGGTGATAAGAAATTTATTTGCTTAAGCTGTTTATCCAGCAGATGGCAATGTAGCACGCAGCAGGGTGAGAAGTCAGAGCAAGCTAAGTTGCATCAGGAGAAGGGCATTTTGTCCTCCCTTTGGGTTTCCATAATACTGTTAAATATCATAGATATTTGTTTGATTGTTTTTTTTACATTCTTGTCTCTTAATGGCTGTGGGTATTGACAGATAAAGACACAAAAGGGGGTTGAAACAAACAGGCAACCCAACAAAGGTCCAGACGTAGGCAGAGCCGCCATTCAGCAGAATCAGGCAGCTGTCTGAGGCCCATTGATCCAACATAGTCATGATATATACCCCTAATTTCTTCTAGAAGTGGGGAGCCCAGTAAAGAAGGGTGCATTAAGGATGATGGACTTGTTGCAAATGGCGCTTTCTTTCTTGGGGAGTGGCTCGTTGACTGGACACCAGTGCACTTTGAAAGCACTGAATCCAGATGCATGCATTCTGAGCGGAGCTCATGAGTGTGAATGCTTAACTTAAGACATAATTTAAAGGTTTTATTACACAGGCATCCTGTTGGTATTCCTGCTACTAATGTTGCTATACTCTTTCTATTCAGACAATGTTGTTCAGATATTTTGCTCAAACAATACATTGCTTGCCTGTGTATATTTTTCTTTCTAAACAAGTTTTCATGAAATGGAAGATCTAGTCATGTCCTAAGCTACAAAATCCTTAATTTTATTTATTGCATTTCTTTACTGCCTCAAGTTCTCTGGGTACTTCACAACAGTTAAATACAATAAAAATGGTAAACACATCAATAAAATACAGTATAAAAAATTAAAACTGAAATAGGAAACAGAAGTGATAGTAATGAAAGCCAGAGTTAAAGCAGTACAAGGACTTAAAATGCAGCAAAAGATTTAAAAGCAGCGGAGACTGAAAACATTCCCTTCCTGGGGAAGCTTAGTTCCCTCCATTGCTTTCTCATTCACTCATGTGTCTTTTCTTCTCATTAGATCAGTGATTCACCATAGCCACTGTCTCACCTAGATTTGATGAAAAGGCAAGATAGCACAGGGTGTCATCTGCATATTTATTATTATTATTATTTATTTAAAACTTTTGTATGCCGTCACCACATGCCTTGGCATCTCGGGGCGGCTCACAATATATATATATAATAAAAAAATAATCTTTATAAATAACAAATTCCATAAAAGATTATATAAAAACAAAACAAAACAAAAAAAACAAAAAGAGCGACTGTTAACAATAAAATATTAATGTTTAAAATAGCAATTAAATAAAAGGTTTTAACCTGGCGCCAGAATATAAACTTGGCGCCAGGCGCACCTCTCCAAACAGCACATTCCATAATCTGGGAGCCACCACAGAGAAGGCCCTTCTCCAGGTAGATTTTTTTTTATCTCCTTTAAAGAGGGCTCCTGGAGCAGAGCCTCTCCCGCAGATCTTAAGGGGTGTGAGGGCATGTAAGGGAAGAGGCACTCCTTCAGGTATCCTGGTCCCAAGCTGTTCAGGGCTTTATAGGTTAAAACCACACCTTGAACTGGGTCTGGACTTCAGCTGGAAGCCAGTGTAGCTGGTAGAGGACCAGCATTATATGAGAATAACGAATGAGCTATATTGATGACATAGCTCAGCCCACACCTTTGGATAACCTCCCCCAGCAGTTCCATGCAGATATTGAGCAATATGGACAGAGTTAATAAAGCTCTGCAGATCCACATCACATAAACAAGACATGGAGCAATAATCCCCCAGCACCAGCTTCTGGAATTAGCCATCCAAGTAGGAGCAGAACCACTGCATGCAGTGTTTCCAGCCTGCAACTTAGACAGCCTGTCCAGGCGATCATAATTGATGGTATCAAAATCTATTGAGAAGTCCAAGAGAACGAGCAGGTAATCCCAACAGATTTCCATCCAAATTGTTTGCTCTCATTCTCTCTCTCTCTCTCTCTCTCTCTCTCTCTCTCTCTCTCTTTCTCTCTCTCTCTCTCTCTCTCTCTCTCTCTCTCTCTCTCTCACACACACACCCCTCTTTATTTAGGAAATCATTCTGCCAGTTGTACTGAATTTCTCATCCTGTAGTTTAAATTAGCCTTTCCCAACTTAGTGCATACCAGATACATAGATACATTGGACTATAGGAAATGGGTTGAGTCCACTGAATTTGGAGGATACCTGATTAGAGAATATTTGTTTAGATAGCCTCACTGAGAGAACTTCTCAAATATCTGAAAACTGCCTGCATATCTGTGTCCCTGTAATTGCCTCTGTATCTGCCTGTATATCTGTGGACAAAATAGTTCTGGTCTCTCTAGTCTTTTTTCATTTTGGACTTCCAGATCATTTACACATTCTCATTATGACCCTCTGAATTCTTCCCATCTGGCCCATATTCTGGAGCAAAATGTAGCATGTCTTCACCATATTGAATGCCCATAATTCTTTTGTAAGCTGTTTAGGAGACAGAGAAGCAGCTTGTAAGTGTTCTAAAGCGAATAACCTGTGTTCTGCTTCTAGTCAACCTGGGGTCCTCCTGTCTGACCTGGAATCCCTCTCTCCCAATTCTCACCTGAGGGGCATTTGTTGTGGTTAATCAGTGGCAAGGCAAAATTGCTCTGTGCATGCCAGTGTAACATTACACATGCTGGAGCTGATCGCTTTCTCTGTGAACAAGTTCTGAGCTGTTGGGTAACCCTGTGGCTGTTGAGTTAGCATGCTTCAGGTTAGGGTTTCACTGCTTGAGGTGAACACAGGCATGACACTTTAGGGATGCTGTATCTGTTGATAAAAAGCAATGCTTTTTTTTACATTTTTATAGCTAGAATAACTGAGAAAATGGCTGCTTTCTGCAACCTTCAGCATTTGCCAGACTTGTTCAAAAAGGTATGTTTTGAAAAGGCATGCTGCTAGTTCCTGGTGTTCCTAACGTGTCTATTTTCTTACTTTTCAGATTATTTTCACGATATTAATGTAACAGATATTGTTCCTGGTACAAATGGGAGCAACAGAGGTAAGGAAAACCTGAGGTGTTATTGCATGTTAATCCAGAAATGTCCTGATACAGCACAAAGTCTCCTGTGGTTTCATAGTCACAATTTAACCAAATATATTTGTTGCCATGGGGATAATCTTCAAACAATGTGGCTTGCTACTTTGTTCCACCAAGACAACTATAGGCCACTGGGCATGCACAAAAGCTTCTTGGAGGCTGAAAAAGTCTCCTGGTTATGCTTCCTCCTAGAGACTGGAAAACAGCACAGCCTTTCCTTGGCTTAGCATGGGTTGGACAACTTTGGGAAGCCTGCAGGCCATTTTGTACCACCAAAATCACCACAGGCCCCAATCCTGCCATTGTCATCCCATGGAATTACACAGACAGTGGCATTAAACCGCCACTGCAGTAGTGATGGGTCGCAGGGCCTGTGTACAACCCATGGACCACATTACAAAGGTTTGATTTCGTGGACCACAAGCTGTCCAGAGTTGATTTAAACAAAATCAAATAGGTTTGCCCTTGAAGAAATAACTTACTATATACCCTGCCTTTCTTCCTCTTGCAAGGAACCCTGTGGTGTGGGTTAGGCTGTGAGTCTGACTGCGCCAAAGTCACCCAGTGAGCTTCATGGTTGAGCAGAGACTAGAACCCGAATTTCTTGAGTCCCAGTCCAGTACTCTAACCACTAAGCCATGCTGGTTCTCAGTAACTGCATGGGAACAACCACACCTGGCTGGTTGCTTCATTTAACTCATATTTCCAGGTAGGGCAAGATAATATCATGGAGAAATGTTTCTGTGCTGCTGTGAGCACATGTGTGAAAGAATCATAAGCCCTATCAAGACCTTTTGCTTCATGCCTAAAGTGGAGGAAGCAGTGGGATTGCATCCCAGACCTAAACCCAGTGCTTTTTTATTTATATATTACTGAACTGTTGAATGCCATTGGAGTAGTTTAAAATCATGTACAAAATAAAAAAGATAAACTGTCAAAACAATCCAACAAGTAGTCTTAATATTCTTTAATGTTTTAAATATTTTAATATATTATTAAAGAGTTGGCAGCAAAGTCAATACTCAAAGTAACTGATTAAAGTTTAAATCTCTGCTGGAAATGGAAGGTATTCTTGGCCTGGCAGGAAGAGCATCCCAGTGTTGCTGTCCCCAATCTCTGTGAATAGCTGAAGGCACATATGGGATGCATTAATGTAGGCACCCCTTCTCAGACTTACAGAATCATAAAATAGTAGAATTGGAAGGGGCCAAGAAGGCCATTGGTCCAACCACCTGCTTAGTGCAGGACTGCAAGTTAAAGATGGCTGCCCAGCTGCACCCTGAATGCCTCCAGTGTGGAAGAGCCCACAACCTACCTAAGTCATTTGTTCCACTGTCATACTGTTCTAACTGTCAGGAAGTTCTACTTCTTGGAGAGATGGTAGGTTAGGAGGCAACAACATTGGGGGATGGGGTAGTGAGGAAATAAATAGTATTTTGTGTGCTTCATGATTTCTTACCATTTAATCTTTGAGACAAGAATTAAATCACTAGGCAGTACACAATCTGTGCCCTTTAATATTTTCTACTTCTCTTTTTGAAGTTCTCCCAGTGCTGATTAAAATGCTGATTAAGGAAGGGCTTAAGTGAAGAAACGACCTGCTGGAGAACATTCTGTCTTCTAAAGGTTTACATATCTTTGGATGCCTTTTGGCTCCAAAAGCTCATGCTTTAGGCACATTTTAGTGAAGTTTACTGAATAAGAACAAAATGCAACTTAGAAAAGAGGCGGAGAATGGGAAGGGATGGTAGGAGGAAAGGGACTTCCTTCCATGTAAACATACTTGTGTTCACTATTGTGTAAATACTTATGGGTTTATGTAGTACTTATGTCATCCTAAGGCTGGGTAGCATCAATCAGTGAAAGAAATCATGAGAAAAAGATCTGGAGAGAAATTTGACTATAGCCACCAAAAAATGTCTGGGGGTTCTACTTTTCCCAACATAAATACCCAATTTTTAAAAATGATCATATTAAAAGCTACCCTGATTTCAAATAGTAAATATAACATACATAATTTTTGATTTTTTACTTATATCAGCTCTTCCTTGTGTCAGACCCCATGGGAAAAATCAACCATTTCTCTCTCTCTCTTTCCTACTCACCCTCATACAAATTCCATGTAAATTTCGGAAAAACAGTCAACTTTTTCTGATACGCTTCTTTGAGACAGACAATGGACAGCAAACAGGCTGGCAAGAAGAATGCTGATGACTCACTTGCATCCATTGCCCTTTCAGAAATATGACCAAATGTTCCATGAAGCTTTGTGTTTAAGGGCATTGTAACTGCCTAGGCACACAGCCAGTGTGGGATGAAGAAATTTGCATTGGGGAAAAGGTCATGGAATACATAGACTGGGTTCCCCTATTGGGGAAAGAAACCATGGTAGCTTATTTATTCTGCCACACGCATGCCAGTTCCATAATCGGCCTTGCAGACCGTGGATTGTGTCGTCTGAACACAATGTGGGTGGGTGGCAGAGACGCTTTCCCAACCACCCCAGCACAAGCCACCACCCCAACTCCATGGGTTTAGACAACACAGCACGGGTAATTATGGAAATGAGGTAGTACATAAATGGCATGTGCTGGGTGAGGAAAAGAAGTCCAACAGTAGCTGGGCCATACTCTGTGCATAAATCATGCCTATTTTTGCAGGCAGTCGTTTGTACCAGGCCTCCCAAACAGCAACACACTACAGGGACAGTGTGACTATTCTTGCATTACATACAGTGCTGTGGCTGAAACTGCACATGACTGTGGCAGAGCAGCAGACTTCAACCTAGATTATTGTGAACCAATAGCATATAAAACCACAGGGACAGATTTAATGACTGAAAGGAATGTACTGAAATACTGCACCACTGCCTTATCCCTCTGCACTGCCCTCCCCCCCAAAAGGATTGATAATCAAAATTTATTTATCTGTGCAGGTTTTCCCTTAGCCCAGCCCATTTTTAAAATCAAAATACAGTAGTCTTGGGCACTTTGTAGCCCCTAAAGCTGACAGGATTGCACCCCCTTTTCCTCACAGTTGGGCTGGGCTGCAGGGGAAAAGGTTTTTCCCCCCCCTGCTACTGTAGCAATGACAAATAATTGGCAAATGGTGAAGCTTTCACTTCCATCCTCCTCAGCAATCCCTAGATCTCAGCAGGTAGGGAAGGGACTTAAGAATCTTTCCTTCCTTGTACTCTGAGATGTGTAGTCACAGGGAGGAGAAGGTGGCAGGGGGAAAGAGAGAGATTGTCTGTACATGCACAAGTCCTTACCCATAGCAGGCAAATGCCAGTCTCCATATAACAAGGTACAGTGTACAGCCTTTAGGAGGGAGAGAGAATGTATCTAGAGATGCAGTCCTCATATCAGTACACCAGAGAAATGCAGCCCTTTGTCTGCTGTTTTCTTCTTTTTATTACATTGCACTTATATTCCACCCTTATTCTTATGGCAAGTAACCCTTAGTGGGCTACATAGTTTTCCTCGCTATTTTTATCCTCCCAGCAAAAGCTCTGTGGGGTAGCTTAGGCTGAGACTCTGTGAGTGGCCCAAAGTCACCCAGCTTCATGGTTAAGTGGGGACTAGAAGCCAGATCTCCTAGGCCCCTGTTCCAGCCGCTGTGCCATGCTAGCATGTGCTCTCTTTCCCATTTTCTACAAAAACTGGGTCAGGGGGGAGAGTAGGCATCTAGAAGCAACAAGCAAAATGTTCAGCTGAGTTTCCTCAACTGGAGAGCTGCTGTGAGTGTCTCTTGTATAAACCCTACCCATATGTGCTGGGGACAAGGGAAGAGTGAGTATTGCCCCACAGTACGTTTTTCAGAGTTATACTAGTTTGATGATTTCACTGCACAGAGAAGGCATATAGAGACAGAGCTAGTACTGAAATAGGTATGGCCATAAGACAGATTTTCTGTGGACTGTAAGATGGAGCTAGAATCCATGTGGAATTTACCCCCAAGTGACCCCATTGCTCTAGTCACAATGGAGCCCTTATTCATCTCACTGTTTAGGCTCTTCCAGCACACAAATACACACAGAAATAAGCATCCACATACTCAGTGTATGTGTCTGTCTCACGTACATTTATGCTTTCCTGGAACTAAATCATTGTTTTGTTTCTTTTTCGCTTTACAGTAATATGTCCAGGTGATGGTGGTCCAAATATAACTGGAAACAAAACTTTTATGTTTGCTTCTAACAGCAGTACAGGATTTGAGACATTTGAAGAGTGGTGGAATAAATCGGAAACAGTCCCAATTTACTTGAGTGTCATTCTTCTGCTATTGAATTTTAGATCTCCATCTTTCTTTGCCAAATTTAATATCTTAGGTAGGCAATAATGTTCTTGGTCTAAACATTCCAGTACACATCTTACTGTGTTTTGAAAAAAACATGCTTTCTCACTTGCATATCTCAGCTTAATCAAATTCTTCAGTATTTCAATATACTTTTAAACATTTAATGCCTAGACCCTGGAACAACTTCAGTTTTTTCAAATATACCTCAAATATACCCCCAAGGAGGTATTCTTGAAGGTGCAGATCCAAGATAGCAGTATGAGAAATCTTCAGAACAGCAACAAAAACCAAAGTGTAATGCAATCTTTTTTATAGTTGATCATGCTTATGAAAATTGGTAAGCATATTTTAGCAAACTGATATTGCTAAATATGTAAACTGACTCCAGTGCTTCTGCTCACTGTTTGATCTCTCCCTCTGCAATTCCCTGCTAGTTGCCTGTCTCTAGCCCTGCTGGTTTTCCATGTAAAATGGAAAACTCAAGTCTCCAGGACTTCCTTTTCAGCACTTTTCAAGGAAGATATCTATATCTAAATATAACCTGTCCTTTTAAATTTTTCTTTGTGACTCTTTCTAAGAGCTGCCATTTACCAGAAGTTGAGGGTTTAACTAATTGCAAACACCATCCCCCTACAAATATTTAATGGCACAGCCATTAAAAAATAAACTGGCATTAACATAATTATCTGCCTGCTCACTGACTGTTCTCTCCTTGTTTGAATATTATATTGAGTAACTTTACCTTGGTAGAGCCCTGTTACATCCAGAGATTATTTGCAGGTAAAAAGCAAAATGCACGAAAGATAGGTAGACTGAATGGAGGATAGTGTCCTATGCTATTTGCCCATTTTTTTCTCAGATCAGCATCAGCCAATGTATGAGTCTTAGAGAACTCAAGAGAAAAGCCCCTCTGCCACTTGCTAGTCCAAATCTCAGGGGTGGGCATCCTGTGACCCTCCAGATGTTGTTGGACTTCAGTTTCCATCAGCCCCAGACAGTGGGGCCAAGGGTCGGGGATATGGGAGTTGTAGCCTTGCACCATCCAAAGGGCTGCATGTTGCTTGCTTCTGCTATAAGCATACTTCAGGATCTCATTTTTGTTTTCCCTTTCTTCCTCACTACAGGTACCATTTCATTAATTTATTTAATTATCCTTGTTACCACGAAAGCTGTGCTTTTGGGATTCCATTTAGAATTCAACTGGTCCAATACGAGTGACTATTTTGTCCCAGGTAAACTTTTTATTTTAAACAATTTTCGGAAAGTTTTCCTTTAGTCATTTAATAGGACATCTAATTCATAGCTTCTTGCCTTATCATTTTCTTCTGAGATCCCAGAAACTCAAGTTCTTGATTCAACAATTTCCTTTTTTTCAGAGCAGTATGTAGGAAGCTGCTAGAGTATCAGCTGCTTTATCAGCATTGTTAAAATGACAGGACAATAGATTTAGATGGCACATAGAGTACAATCTTTTCTACACCTTTCTTTGTTGTACACCTGAATAGACTGAGGGGATTTAAGAATGTCAGATAATCTGAGTGCAATGCTACCAGAAGACCAGACTTTTGCTAGACTGGAAGCAGGGTCACCAAGATGGAAGAGTCAAAGCTGAGATATCAGACCAAGAGGCAAGACCATTCAAGAATAATGGCCACATCAGCAGAAGAAAATGAATATTTCCAATAGTGATGGGGATAGAGAAACTTCTGAAGGGCAGCTACTGGGCAGCAGCTGTTCTTGAATGCAACACTTACAGAGGATCTTTCACAGACAACGGCAGTGGCACTCAAGCTAATTCTTCTTAGTAATGTGCATAGGAAGGCAATGGAAAACCATTTCAGAATATTTCTTACTCAGAAACCCCATAATGAAACAAGAATAGTTCCATAACATGAGACCCCTAGGTTGGAAAGCACTAAGTGAGCTCCTGGGGAAGAAGAAATCACAAATCAGAGTAAGTTTTGATGCTACCTAGATTAGAAATGATGAAAAACCAACAGGGGCATTATACTATCTGACCAGGAAGAACTTTACAGAAGAGATAAAAGGATGACAGACTCTTTCAAAGAGGAATCCTATAAGGAAGAACCTGCAATATTAGAAAGTGAAGTGAAAGCTGCTCTGAAAGCATTAAGAAGGAATAAAGTACCCGGAGCATATACAATACCAATAGAAGTATTCCAAGCTGCAGAAACTGAATTGGTCCAAATCCTAATAAGAATATGCCAGCAAATAATGGAAAACAAAACAATGGCTCACAGACTGGAAATGTTTAATTCCAGTCTGTGGGAAAAGAGATGCAAAAGAATGAAGCAACCATAGAACCATTGTACTAATTTCCCACACAAACATAGTTATGTTCAAAGTGTTGCAACAAAGCATATTACCCTGTTATGGAGTGAGAAATGCCTGATGTTCAAGCTGGATTCCAAGAAGGAAATCATTTCACAAAGATATCTTGGCTTTTGAAGTCTACTAAAGAATTTTAGAAGACAATCTTTCTATGCTTTATAGACAGCAGCAAAGCCTTTGACTGTGTGGATCATGAAAAGCTATGGATGGTCCTGAAAGAAATGGATTTGCCGCAGTACTTGATTGTCCTAATGGAACAAGAAGCTACAGTTAGGACAGTATATGGAAAAACATAATGGTTTCCTTTAGGCAAAGGAATCAGACTTTTGTCAAATTTGTTCAGTCTTTTTGCAGAATATCTAAGCAAAGTTAGACTAGGATCAGGAGGAGGAGGAGTAAAAATTGGCAGAAGATACATCCATAATTTAAGATGTCCAGATGATACCATCTTTCTGGCAGAAAGCAGCATTAACTTGAATCGGCTACTGAAAAAAGTAAAAGAAAAGAGTGCAAAAGCAGGACTGCAATTGACTATTAAGAAAACAAAAAACCTCACTGCAGAAGAATTAAAGATATTGTCAACAATGAAGAAGTTGAAATTGTGAAAAATTTTGCATACCTTGGGTCCATTATCAACTCAAATTGAGACTACAGCCCAGAAAATAGAAGACAGAGACTTGGAAGGGCAGCAGTGTAGGAACTAGAAAAGTTCATTTTCTTGTTCCTACATTACACTCCATTCCCCCCACAATTACAGATGGGAAAATTGAGGGTAAGAAACTGTTTTGGCTAGGTGTACCCAGATGGGTTAGATAGGTTTGGCTAGGGCAGTGGTTTTCAACCTTTCCAAAGCTGTGGACTGGAAAAAACAAGAAAACCACTTCATGGGCCGATGAGGCAGAAACTGAAAGCACCATACACATAATACAGTATTCTGTGTATTAGTCTCCAAACACAATACCAAAAAAATGAACATTCTCCAAAACAGCAAGAAACCAAGCAGCAAAAAATGCCAACAAAAGAACAAAATACTGAAATTAGTGAAGTGTGGCTCCCAGCTGGCTCCCTTCCTGGCCCCCCCTGGAAGCACCGGCACACCCTCTAAAAAAGCGATATCAATCGAGGAACAGGCGGTGGAACACAGCCAGCCCCTATGCCAGTCTGTGGTGAGCAGGATGTGCCCCCACCCCTGCCCCTGGGACCAGCAGTAAATCTTCCATGGACTGATGCTGGTCCTCAGACTGATGGAGCCAGTGTGGTGTAGTGCTTAAGAGCATGGGACTAGGACTCAGAGGATCTGGGTTCGAGTCCCCGCTCAGCCATGGAGCCAACTGGGTGACTTTGGGCCAGTCACAGACTCTCAGCCGAACCTACCTCACAGGGTTGTTATTGTGGGGATAAGATGGAGGAAGAGATGTAAGCTGCCTTGAGCCCTTTGTAGGAAAAAGGCAGGATATAAATCAATCAATCAATAAAAACCACTGGGCTAGGGTTACCCTGATGGTTAAACTAATTTAAATGTTTAATTCATGCTCTTAAGCACCATTCTACTTAAGCCCCACAGGTTACAGAACATCCTTGGTGTTTCCTATTCTTGCCACTTCTGTCCTGCACTGATAGACTGCTTTTCATTTTTTTCTCTTTCTGAACTTTCTGAGCGTCAGAAAACAAAAAAGGGGAGGGCAATTCAACTGAGTAAAGATGTGTGGAAGTTGTTTGGTGAGAAACATTCCCAGGTCTGACAGCTCCAGAGTGACTTCAGCATGGGTGGAGGATGGATTCCCTAGCCAAAGGCTGCAGATAGATTGACTGACTTTTCCAACTTGCTAGCACCTGGAGTTGCATTGGCACTACTTGCGCACTCTTGAGACCATTCACTTCTTTGTTTTATTTCTAAAATGCTTGTGATGAGACATCAGGGAGGCCCCATCCTTACCAGGGGTATCACTGAATTGCCATAAAAACCCTGAGGAATGTGTTTTCCTTTTCTGATGTTTGATTGGATTACTCTGGTCTCTGGAGAATCTTTATACCAGTCTCTAATTCTTAATTGTTGTCTGTATTTAAAATGGAGTTGAGGGAAATATTTCTTCTCTGGGAAACTTCAGAATTTCTACCTCTTAGTATTTTACAAGCCAAAGGAGACTTGCAGCTCTCCAGGTTATGTTGTAGCCTGAACCCAAAAAGAACTGCTAGGAAGTGGTTCCAATTTAACTTTTTTCCTCTGCAGAAGAATATATGTGGAAAATATTCTGTAACTAGAAGTTCTTGTTAATATTCTAGTCCAGTATTATCTTCCACCTAGAAGCCCTTGACCCAAGGGTCAATGAGAGGGAGGAAAGGAGGCAATATCTTGAGCCTTTTTACGGAAGAAATTTTTTAAAAGAGGTCACTAGAAAAGCTAGGCTCTGAAGGTGCTGAGGAAGTGGTCAGGGCGGGTAGGGGTCTGTCTGGGTCCCCAGCATGTGGAGAGTACTACTGGCATTCAAGCAAATGGAAGTGGAATTCCCCTTCAAGCCTGACATTGAATGCAGTGAGGTTGGAACTGAGGGGCCAGAACAGTAAGGAGGGGACCAGGCCAGGATGTGTGGCGCTCTGTTCCCACTCACACATTGGGGTACCTTAGGTCTTTTCTCAGCTCCAGTTATGAACAAGGAATTAGTAGGGCTGGAATGCTGCAGAGTAGTGGCTCCCTGAATGTCAGGAACAGGATGAGGGCTGAGCTGGGCTATTTCCAGATTTGAGGGTCTCTGGGCAAAATGTCCTGGGTGGGCCCTCCTGTTTGTATAGCCCTGGTGAAAGCACAACAAGCAGCACCAAGTGACTGAATAAAGCCACTCTTTTAATTTCCCAGAGTACTCTAGAGCAATGCTAGGTCAGGAGTATTGTGGAAAATTAACATGGTCAAAACCAGCTGCTTGGAGTAGCTGTGCCAGAGAAGGCAGGGAAGGCATCAGCCTGCTGTGCGCCTGGTAGCTGGCGCAAGCTTCCAGGGACTAACACCAATCCTAGAGGTGAACCTTTCCTGCCCACTCTTTCTGATCACAGAAAGCAATATTCTCGTTCAGAGATGCAAAATCTCTTTCAAATTCCTTTCAGAGGAAGATCTCAGGGGCCACATTCCAGTGGTGGGTTTACACAGTGTCTTATTGCCAGTTGTTAAGTCTTAGGAGACATATTTTAGCCTTTTTTTGACTGGGGTGGGGACACTGTAAACAGCCAGGAAGCTACTAAATTATTGGTAGTATAGGTAGTAGGAAGGGGGCATGGGGACCCAAGGGAGCTGGATTCATCCCCCAGGCAGACCTGGGGTTCTGCACCCTTGCTCTGTTCACTTGCACACTCTATTACTTGTGGACAGCCTGAGACAAAGGACAAGATGGTACCATCTCCCATTTTATCTGCAAAAGATGGCCAAAGTGGTGGATGGATCTGTCTTCAACACTGATTATGGGACAGTGTCCTGCACCATACCTGAAGCAACGTGCAAACTCGAAGGCAGCAGGCTGTGTAGCATACAGGCTTCTCTGCCAACAACTTGCTGCTGCCTCCTGGCTTCTGCTGCCTGAGGTGACGCCTTCACTGCTTTGTGTAAGGGTAGGGCTAGCCCTGCTGCTGCTGTCTCTCTTCATCGCTGCAGCCGAGTTAAGAAACTGAGGAAGACAGGAAGCAGTATTTGAATGGGTCCCACAAGTCATGCTTGAGGCCACCCACTCTTGCTTTCTTTGGAGAACCAGCCAGAACAGAAGCAGCCTGGTTTGCTCCTTGCAGATAATTGTGCTGGCTGCAGTTGTAGAAGGGAGAACACAGAGCTTACTAGTTCTTTGTACTATTTTTCACAAACTTGACAGAATAGAAATACTACTTCACATTTCTCTCGGGGGGTTGGGAGCCTGGGTTGGAATCAGAGGGCAAGAAACAGGGGTAATGCTGATTTAGAGGAAGCATTTGTTAATGGAAGCCCTACTCATGTGGACAGATTGTGCCACAGTAGACTGATTCAAAAGGCAGCTGTGTGTCTGTCGCAAGTGACTTGTGTGACATGCTTCTGCAGGCCATTCTGACAGTTTATCACCCTACCATTATCAACCTCTTTCTTTTTGTGGTTTAAACCAATATAGTGAGATCTAAGACAGTACGTATGGCTGTGGATCACAGTTGTCTGCTAGGCATGTATGGAAACACCTCAGTTTTGATTTCTCTCAGCTTTGAGCTCACTTAGCCACTCACTTTCTGTCAGTCTCATGCACTAAAATGGAAAGTAGAATTTGCAGTTTGTGGAACAGACTCTCCTCTTTAAAGCTCAAGACAGAGGAAGTTGAGCCTTCAGCTTTGATTAAACTGTAAGACGTAATTTGGGAGTCTTATTCTTTTCTAAAGAACCTGAGATATGGGCTTCTTGAACTTCCCATGCAATAACAAATGTTTTAAAGAAACGGATTATGGCCAATTTTATTTGCCCCATGCGTAGTGATGTGTGCAAATACTCATTTCTCTACAGATGGCAGAGCGTAAAGTTCCATATTATTATTTGGGAAGGGGTTGGGGGGTTATTAGGTGATTGATAAAATTCTTAAACTAAGGTCATTTTGATTAAACAAAAAGAGTTGCAGTTTGCTAAAATTAAAAACATATGTATCTCTGACGAGTCCACACGAAGGTTCAAGATTTATGGTTTTGGAAGATTTCCCTCTCTTCTCCTACCCATTTTAAAAGTGTAAATAACAGTGCTAAAAAGGTTTTCTAGTCAATGGCTGATTTTTGTGGTAAACAACATTTCCCATCCAAATGAAGAAACAGAGCATGATTTAACTTTGGCCTGACACCAGGGGTAGGAAAGAACATTTGTGTAATCCATTTATTTCAAGAAGCTGAAGTGATCTGTACTCTTCTTAGTGCTTCTTGGTAAAGATCCAAGTAGGAAGACTGTCTTGGGCCAAAGTCAGTGAGATCACACTTTTGGGCACACAATTGGCCCTGGTCATATTCCTCTAACATTGGTAACTCAACATGTGAACAGGTCAATTTGTGAAGTAAGCAAAAATTATGATAGGATGCAATAGATTGTTGACGTGGGCAGGAACTTGAGCCATGGTTGCTGTCATGGCCATTTCAGGGCTCTCAGCTTGAACCAACTAAAGCCAAGCTGTTCCATGATGGGTCCCCAGATGGCCTTTGTCAGAATGCACCACTCAGGTTTTTCTGTTTACTGACGCACTTAATCTGTGAATGTTTATAGTCTGCCTAGCTATCCAAACAGAGGTGGGGGGGGTATGTGTGCGTCTGTGTGCAGAGAATGATGCAGCTTTTGATGAATTGTTTGCAAATTTGAACAGATGTCAAGCCAGCAACTACATCTTCGTGAATTCAGATTTAGCTTTAATCAGACCAGTCCCACAAGCACTACAAGTTCATGCTTGGCATTCTGTTGGATCGTGGGTGGGCAACTGGGTCGTCATGCACGAGCCATCCTTAAATGAAGCAGGCAGTTGTACGGCATTTTTAGTTATTTTTATGAAGGAAAAAGAATACGTTTTACATAATAAAAATGATCGTTCTGGAAGCAGATGTTATACAGCAGCCATAGAGATAAGGCTTCCTCCCTGTCCTACCCAACTTAGGGTGGGGTGCCTCAATCTGGTACCATATTCTGTCCTCAGATAATGGATAGAGAAGTAACATTCTTGATAGCTGGAGCCTAGTTGTACCTTCACTTTCTAATATTTTAAAATAAATACAAACAAGAACTGTGAATCAGTGCTGGGAAGGTGGAAAGTACGACCACCTTTAGAAGTAGAAAATGGTTTTTAAAAGTGAGAACCGGTGTGGTATAGTGGTTAGAGCGTTGGGCAGGGGACCTGGGAGCTCCAGGTTCTAGTCCCCACTCAGCCTTGGTGCTCACTGGGTGACTTTGGGCCAGTCACAAACTCAGCCTAGCCTACCTCACAGGGTTATTGTGAGGAATTGAGATTGAGAGGAGGAGGATTATGTAAGACACTTTGAGTTCCTTGAAAGCAAAAAAGGTAATAAATAAATGTTAAGCCTGTAAAATGTTTGGGACATTTGTTAGATGAAGCAATTGAGCTAAGTAATTGTGTTTGACTAGTGCAACAGGGAAATACTTGGCCCCAAAATCTTACTTTTATTGCTGAAATGTAAAAACACAATTTCTGCATGGTACATAAGTGGGAAGAAGAAACACAGAATTCTGTTAGTGGTTAAATCAGAAAATGAGGGCAGTAGCACCCCCCCCCCCCCAATACAACAAGAAAGGGGAGAAAGCTGTACGATTGCAACTTGAAATAGATTTAGTGAACTTTTACAATCCCTTTTAAAAATGCAAACACATATTGGGGTTTTCTTTTAAGTTAAAAGTGACTTTTTAAAAGCATAATAAAGGTTGCAGTCCGTACCATGATTAGAACTCCTGTTAAACTCAGTGGGACTTCTTAATAGTTATGTATGTGATCTCACTGCAAGTGCAGTGAAGTTGTTATATCTTCCAGCTGTGGATCAATTTCCCTCCATCTTTTTTATTCTACTTGTGTTGGTTATCACCAGCCAGACACTTATTTTAAAAGGCCTTTGATAATCATGCAGCCAAATTCCACATTACACAATTACACTAGAATAATGTTTGAATGGTGGTAGCAAAAACTGTAGTTTTCTGGGGGAAATGCTTTCTCCTTGTGGTAGAAGTGCTACTTTTAAGGAGTTCCATAACTGCATCATTATTTTATTCTACCTTGTCCTCCAGATGGGCCCTTGCACTCTGATCTGGAACACATTACTTAGAAGAAAGTTTTATTGAAGTAGTTGAGATTCATTCCCATGTAAAATGTGCTTAGGGATTAGTATTTAGTTTTTGCCCCCCCCCCCCCCCCGTTTCTGAAATTTTGAAAGTTCTCATGCTTGAACTGGTGTGACTTTTGCAGAAAATAATACAACACATGCTGTAACGGGTGGTTAAGATTCATTTGGATAATTCTTAATTAAGAAAGAGTAGTAAAATGAAAAATAGGCTGTACAAGACATATTTTTCCATCTTCATCTGTTTGTTGGTAATCAAGAGAGACAGAATTTCCAAGGGCAATTACAAATGTAGAGTCCTGGAGACACATGTATTGTATTGCCTAAGACTAGCCATTTCCTTAGAGTAATTACTACCAGGACAGTTTCATTTGAGTAAGGACAGAGAAACAGCAGTGAGAATGAAACAATTTGAGTCACGTAACATTAGTTTTAGGCCATTTTAAGTGTACTTATCTCAGTTTGGTTTGCAAGATAAAACAAGTAATTAAAAATACAAACAGTGATTACAAATAAAATGATCAGCCTCCAGTTAACCAAAGGCCAGTAAAAAAGACCTCTAGAGAAAGTGCCTGATGAACCCTCCAATGGAAACCCATTCCAGAGATACAGGCCTACTACTGAAAAGTTCTTCTCCTTTCTGTCCCTTCATAACTGCCCCAGTAGTGTTGTGAGAAGGGCCTCTGTTAGCACTTACAGAATGTGAGCAGGCTGATACTGGTGAAGGGGCACCTTCAAGTAAGTTTGGCCCAAACCAACTAAAGGTTTCAAGGTTAAAAACAGCTTTTATATGGAGTATCAGTGTTACATGAGCTGAAAGCTTAGCTCCCACTAATATCCAAGTGGCTGAAGTTTCTGAACCATCTCTAAAGGCAATCCCTTTAAATACCAGTGACCTTCTGCAAATGTTATCAAACATAGTAGGCTAATCCAAATTGGACACGCTTACCTATTAGGGGTCATTTTTCTGGCTTTCTCATTTGCCAAAACTGATCTTTCCTATCCTGAATCAGTTTATTCCATCATGTAGATAGATCAGAAAGAGGCATCGGTGGAAAGTGGAACAGGAACTTTATATGCATAAGAAAGGGTTTGTTCCTAAATGTATACTTAGGACTTCCCTTTTGCAGCTGCCCCTGTTTTGGTGGAAGAATGTTGGTTCAAATTCTATAAATTAAATGTTTGGAATGCTTTAATACACTAAGGATCCTATTATTTAGCTCCAGGTTAGGCTTTAGTAATTTCCTATGCCATTCATCACACTATTGTGTTTTAGCAATGGCTTCCTCTTCATCTGTTTATCTTGCTCCTTATCTCTTTAATCACGAGTCATTGAGGTTTCTCCAATATGAACTCATCAGCAATAAAGATGGATACCAAACCTAGCATAGGAATCAATAGAGACCGCTGATATTTATTATAGTGTTAGTGGTGGTACCCAATCTGATAATTCCAATTTCCCTCTTGTTTCTTCAGAATTCAGGATTCTGTTTCCTCAGCTTACAGGAGTGCTGACCCTGGCCTTCTTTATTCATAATTGTGTCATTACACTGCTTAAGAATAACAAGAATCAAGAAAACAATGTAAGTACCAGTGCAAGGCATTTTTATCTGCAGATAATAGCACCGCTCTTGTTGGAGCTGCTTTTCAAAACTAGCTGTGATTTGCTCAGATACAAAAGAACTCATGTTCTTGCTGCTTTTCCCATGACTGTCCTGTGCTAATTGCTCCTGCAGGCTTGTGAACATCCTATTGGCTCTGTGGATTGGTGGGCAGCCCCCGCAGGCTTCTTTCACATACTGCTATTGTGTTCCACAGAGATCAGACTTGGGAGGTTCAGATGCCACAGTTCGGTGTAAGACAGCCTCAGTTACTGCTTTCAGCAATCAAATTCCATGAATATATTTCAAATGCAAATTGAAGGTCTCCTGTTTTCCTCACAGGTCCTCTTAAACTGATAAAATTGTACCCCCCCCCCCATTAAAAATGCGGTGAAACATAATGAACAAAAATGAACATCTTAGAATACCAACTTGTGGGAAACTATTGCACTATAGCTGGGATGGGCAACCTTTTTTTCCACTGAGGAACAATAGAGGGTAGCTTTTCATTTGCACAGAATCTAGCTTGCATATGTATTTTATGGTTTGTGTATTTTTATATCTTGATTTTTCCCTCTTGCAAGGAACCCAAGGCAGCTTACGTGGCCTTTTAGTCTCACAGCAACCCTGTAAGGCAGTCTATGATGAGAGTCAGTGATTAACCCAAAATCACCCAGTGTGCTTTATGGCTAAGTCAGAACTAGAACCCACATCTCCTGATTCTCAGTGCAGCACTCTAACCAAGATATCACAATAGATATCTTCTTTTTATGGGCATGTTAAATAATTAATCTCTAGTTTATGGAAATGTATACTGCATGTGAAGTTTTCTCATTTGAAAATTATTATTCTTAAATATGGCAAAGTTAGAATTGCATCTAAAGAAAACTGTGAATGCAAAGAGGATGTGTAAAAAGCCTTTAAGAAGTTGGGCTTCGATACCATTGCCCTTTCTGTATCTCTAGCAAGTTTTCCAATTACATCTCTAAATGTACCCCTGCAACCATGGGATTTACAACTGTCAGGGACCTTTGGACCTTTGGACCTTTGGACCTTTGCTTTATTAAGAACTTAAAACAGGTATAAGAATCTATTAGATTCCTATAATATATGTAATAAGGGAATAACAATAGTGGCTCAAGGTTGTTGTGAAGCAGTGAAGAAGAGGTGGATATTTGATCAGCTCTCCATCTTCCCTGCTGCCTTTCAGAACATTAGCCCTGCTTGCCCCATAGAGCCAAATAAGATTTTTTTCCCCTTCATTGTCCCCATTTGCAAACAAGGCTCATATTCTGAAGCGCAGCCTGTCAAGATCGAGCGTTGCCTGCTAGGGAGAAAAATCTTCGTCACCACAGGCCAAACAGACTGGTGCCCTGAATCACAGAAGGGAGGATGGGCAGCTGACCCTGCCTTTTCCTTCCTCTGGAGGTCGAGTGCCGATCTGCTCAGAAGTACCAGTGTGTGGATTGTCCGCTCTGCCTCTTGCCTGAGAAGCCTACACGTGGGCAGGAGGCAAGGGTGCCTGATCCACAAGGAAAGTGGCACTGAGCAGATCACTGGCTCCCATCTCTGCCCTGCCAGCAGCTCAAGGTACCCTCAGCCTGGCTGCCTTGTGCTGCCCAGTGGGGGAACTTTTGACAGCAGCCCCCAATACTGCTTGCTCCCTTTGGGGGGTCCTGTCAGCAGGACTAACCTGTCTGCCATTTGTCAAGAGTGGTAAAGAGTTTTTTGCTTTTTTCACCATGTGAAAATAGCTGGCTCTTAGGAATCACCCATGGTGACTCTTATTGTCTAGGTTCAGACAACACAACAGTCCACCATAGACAGCAACAACCCTAGAAGAGCCCTGGGTTCTCCTGGCAGGTTGTTTGTGGGGAAAGCCCCCACAACCTGTGGTGTGTTCACACAATGCATGAGCCCACTTATTATACCAAACCATGAAGGGTTATCATGTCATCCAAACCATGTCTACCATGTGATTGGTGAGAAAATATTTGAATGATGTCAGTTTTATGCTGTGTCTACATTTGCTCTGATAACTTCATCGATACTTTTTTGCTCCATTTTGATAGTGCCTTCTGCCTGTAGAACAAGGACTAGTTCTTGCAAATTGTAGATGAGGTGAGAAACTGTATCTGAGCTGTGCCATTTCAGACTGCAAGTGGGGACATGCATGGTTGAATGTTCCCCCACAAATATGTAATTTTAAATCCTACATGGTAAGCTTAACATCTCAGGAAGATGGATAGAAATGTGAAAAGGATTTAGTTTTACTGATATTGCAGATTATCCAGTCATGTGACACCCCCCCCATCTGAAATATGCAGTGGTACAAGTCCAGCTGCAAGAGTTCTGGACCAAGATATTTTGCTACCTGTGGTATAGCAGGAAATGGTGTTTCATATCCATCCAAGCTGAGATGTACAGTATGCAGAGCCAGCCAAGCTATTTTGGTACATGAGGCAGAATGGCCCACAGGCACCTTTCTCTATCTCATTTAATACAATAATAACAGATTAAGGATGCAGTCCTATGGCCTCCCAATGTGTGACGTTGGAGCTGGGGGTCCAGAGGTCAGGTCCTGCTCTGCCCTGACTGCAGCCAATTCAGAAAGAAGCATGCCAGCTCTCCCTGGGCCTTGGAGAGAATCAAAAGGAGCATGCCAGGGGATAAGGATGAAGTGAGGCTGGGGCCAGTGGCTTACACTGATTGCTATTGCTGTCCCTGCCATTCCTTTCCTCTATCTTCCTGGGCTTTTAACTAGATCACTGACAATAGATGAAATGCATGGTATGAAGTGGCAGCTGCCACAACAGCTCACTTTAAGGACTGGATGTGCATAAGCCTCTCATTTCAGAGGCTTAACTACATCTAAGGCAGTTGATATTAGATTGTGCCTGAAATGACTAAAAATTGCTGCCTTTTCATGATACCTCAATTTTCAGAGGGCTGTCTGACTAAGGGACAGCTCTGAGTTGCAAGTTTACCACCTCTTCTGTTTGTGAGAACTAGGCCCTTAGTTAGATCTTCCTATTATCTCTATCACAGTAAATATTTGCGACAGATACAATCTTGACCAAATTATATATTGATGCTGAAGCTCTGTGGCTTCATGTGGAGGGCTTATTTAGTGAACTGAGCCACAAAATAGCCTGTCTTAATCAATTTTCTGCTTGGGAAGTGTGTGCCAAAACCACACTAATCCAGTGTCTGTGACAGCTGAAAACTTCCCTGGTTAACATATTTCAGGTTATTAAATTGTGTCATGTTCATTGCACTTGCACTATAAAGTTGTACTCTTCCAAAATGTGAAATGCACACAAGTGATTTTACAACAAAGAAATATTTTTCTTGATGCCAATTACTATGACATCATAATCCCCCTTGAGGACCGGAACTGGAAAAGGGATTTGAATAGAGCAGCAAAAATCAGGAGTATGGAATGACTTCCATACACAGAAAAGCTAAAAGACCACTGGGGTTCTTGACCTTAGAAAACATCTAAGGAGGGATATGATAAAACCATATGAAATAATGGCTTAGAATGAGAATGAGTAAATAGGAAGTACAAGTTTAAAGCTTTGTTTCATAATTCAGTGGAATGATAGTCATACCACTATTTTTTGTTTTGGAAAAAGTGTTTCAATTTTTCATATTTTACTTTGCACCAGCCCTTTGATGTTATTTTGCTCTTACAGATTAGGGTACTGAAGCTGAGAGAGGAAAAGTGACTTAACCAAAGTCACACAGTGGCCAGGTTCACATGATCTCAAAGGAAAACAAGGCCTTGGTGGTTTCCTTTCCCTGATCTCCCCACATGCTGGTCATGTGCTGCATGATTTCTCTCATTAGCCTTGTGGTGCACAGTTCACTGTGCCTTCCAACCCCAGCAAGGTTAGCAGTCCATGGGGCTTCAAAACCATTCCAGAAAAAAGCCATGGGTTTTGAGGTGCTTTCAGAACCACCTATTCTGGACACCTCTCTAGGTTCACACCACACAATGTGCTGTGCATTGTACAGATAATTCATGAAATCACACAGCATGTGACCAGCATGCAGGGGGTGGGAAAAGGAAACCACTATGTGTTCAAACATTACAACAATTCATGGCTTCAGCAACCCGGACACTGGAAAAGAACCAAAAAATATGACTTCTGTTTGTAGTTTACAGATGGTTAACCAACCATGGCTTGTTTGCTGAGCTAGAGTCGGACACAATGGCCTGCCAGACCTGAAAAAAACATAGCATTGCTTAATGTTAAGAGTGACCCAAACCATTAAGTTTGTAGAGGTGGTATCTCATCCCAGGCACCCAGGTTGGATTCTAACCACTATCCACAGGGCAAGATTGGCTCTTGAAATGCTTTCAGATACCAGCATTACATTCAAACACATCTGTGACAAGGTTATAATTAAGTCAGTGTACAGTAGCAATTAGAGTGTTAGGCTAGAACTGGAAGATCCAAATACAAACCACATACAAAGAAGACCTGAGGCAGATATGACCTTTCAGGTGAACCACGGAAGTTGAAAGAATAAAAGATATGGGAAACGTATGGAGGAAAGACGGGATGTAAATGTTACAAATGGATAATGGCTTAACAGCCATTTTTATTTCCAGTATGCTGCTTGGCATGTGAAGCTCTTTTGAGTGACCGAGCAAAAGCACTCTGACTGTTGCCACCTTTGAGGAGAACCTGTGGTTGCTCCTTTTTCCCTCAGTGATTGTAATTGTCATGAGGGATTACAGGCAACAATCCCTAAACCCTTACAAGTTACTTAATTTTCCCTGCTGTTCTCTTTTCCATCTTATATCAGGACTGCTTCTCTTTCCGCCATGGAGCTCTGCATGTGGTTAAGGCATTAGGAGAATGTGTTTCATAGTCACTGTGGGGATTATGTGGGAATCCTGAGTTTAAGGCTCCCTGTCTATTCTTCACATTTTAATTTCTCCCCACCCTGCCCCCATTTTTCTTGATTCCATCTCCATGAAATGCTTACACAATGTCTTGGAACACAGCCATCATTTTTATGATGTGTTTGTACATGGTGGGCTGCTGATCTGTGTCTGGCATTCTAGACAGTGACACAATGCATTTTAATAACTACAGTCAAGGTCTGGTCAGTCTGCAAGTTGATTCCTGCTTCCTGCATCTTGTTTTCTTCTGCTTAGTAATTAAACAGTTGTTGGTTGCCTGTGGCGAGTAACAGCCTCCAGGCACTCCTTTCCCCTTCCTCCATTTTGCCCCACTGCAGTAGCACAGTGGTTTTATTTCCCTGCTAGATACAAGGTACCAGAAGGGAGAACAGCAGCTTGTTAGAGGAGAAGTTTGTGGGGTGAGTAGAGCAAGGAAGCAGGTGATCACTTCCCTTTCTTCCCATACAAAGATGGTGTACCTCATTGCTAGGCAGAAGGTACACTGTAAATATATTATCAAATATTTGAGCAATGTTCCTGCAAAATGTTGGAAGGCGCATAGCTAAATAGTAGAGAAATGTGTTATATGTTGAAGAGCCCAGGCCTGCTCCCCACTACTTTCAGTTAAAGGATCTCGAGCAGCAGAGCTCATGAAGTCTACAAGTCCAGAGAGCCAATAGGCAGTGCTAGATGGATTGAGGGTCTGATTTGGTATAAGGCAGCTTCCTGTATTCATAAATATGTTTGTGTAGATAGAGCCAGCAGTTTAAAATGTGTCTGAGGCTGAAATTCCACAGAATTTGACCAAGCACTGACCCAAATGCTATGTCTGCTTTCTTGTTTGTTCCCTTTTTAAAAATGAAACCAACAAACCCACATTTTAGCTCTCACCGCTGCAGAGAAACATTTGAAAACACGGAGGCCTTTTAAAAAGGAAAGGCTTTTCTGCTTGAGAGTTGTAATATATTCTCATAGTTTCAGATCATTTTCTTCGTACTGTATACTCCTTTCATTCCTTATTGATTTGTGTATCATCTTGCTACCATCCTGCTTACTGCATATATGCACACATGCACACACACATAAATCTAAGTATCTGTATGTACACACACACACACACACCAGGGATAAATGAATAATGTATTAAACTATAATACATGCACTCTTAAACAGATGTGTTAGGGAGTAAGTTCCAATAAACACAGTGAGACTTTCTTCCAAATAAGCATGCATAGATTTTGTTCTTTTCCTCTCTGACCCAGCTGACATGTGACAATCAACTAGCAGTATATTAAGCCATGGTTGGAGTAAGCAAGCACACTGACTGTTAGTTATTCACCACTTCTGCTTTGCAATCCAGAGTTCTACCCCAACAATGTTAAAATGCCCTCTCAATAACTTAAGAGTTCCAAGTTTGCATGTCATACTGATCAGCCCAGGAAGGTGGACTTTCCTGGGTTTTTCCTAAATCAGATGCAAAGCAGAAATGGCAACAGGCCTGACAACCCCTGGTTTGGTAATCCTGCCAGATCAGATGAGACTCACGAGGTACCTCCTGGGTAGGTAAAATAACCCTAGAGCCTTTGAGGGTATCATAGCCTGGGGAACATTTTAGTCTATAGTCCAGAATGGCTCACTACAAGGGATAGCAGAGAATTCATCTGAAAGGTCCCAATTTTACTTTCTGAAAGAGTCTTCTCTGGCAGCTCTGTGATTCAGATCAGATATTCTGCTCTTCCACAGTGAAAAGAGCCATGGTCCAGCACTTTGAACTATTCATACTATATTTTGCTCATGTAATCAATGAGCATGCCAAAGCAGATGGAACACCACCGTTTTATATTTAGTTTCTTTTGTCATAGCTCCCTGAAGAGCAGCTTCACAAAGCCTGCAAAATCTCACCAGTGCATACTGGTTGGAAAACTGTTCTAGCAGTGAAGCCCAACTCAGTGCAAGGGTGATACTCCAAGCACAACTAAATAAAATAATTGACCCCAGAAAGATACTTAACCCATATTTTTGAAGCAGGAAGTTTTAATATTAAAGAAATTTAAAGCCAGACTGTTTTAAACTGTTCCTAACTCCACTGCTCTTTGGGAGAATGTGATGGCTTAATTAGCTTTGAACTGGTCCAAATAAAGTTTGCTTCCTACCTAACAAAGTATTTTGTTGACACCGAAGGGTAAATTGCTAGGTTTTTGTATTTGAGTATAGTTGCATGGATACTGCACATATTCCTCATCCTATAAATAAATCATTGAAAGGCATCTACCTAATTAAAAATCAAAGGGGGGAAAAGAAAAATGGCCAATTGTCATATTAGAAAATAAATAATCATATCCTAATGAAGTGGGGTATTCAGATCACAGGATTCCATTTACAGGTCATGGGTAGCACTACCATAAGACAGAGTGAGCCAGTTGCCTTACAAAGCAGATGCTGTAGATGCGGGCAAGGTGTTGGAAGAGATCTAAACTTTTGCCTTTAGGTGCAGTCGAGGATGTTGCTTCATCCCCAGCAAGTGAGATTTATTTGTTAGTCCAGTTTTCTTTTATACATAGAATAGGAATGGATTCCATGGTTGCCTCAGTCAGCAAAATAGTTTGTGCAAGCCCTAATGGAGTGGCAGCTCATTGGCATAATCCTTATGCCATAAGGACTACCATGTGCTGAAAGTTTGATGCTGAATTGTCTCATAGCTCTCTCCTAATATCACAATTAAATTAGCTGCTTTGTTTGTTTGCTGTTTTTCCAACTACAGGTAAGAGATCTTTCCATTGCCTATTTGCTGGTATCTTTAACATACCTCTATGTTGGCGTGTTAATCTTTGCTGCTTTCCCATCTCCACCACTGAGTAAAGAATGCATAGAACAGGTAGGAGAAAATATACAAACTAAACATTGTTTAATGCACTTAGATGCCAGTGTCAGTCTTGTTCTTTTCAGTTCCATCTGCCTTTTGGTTAATGCTCATCTCAGTGTAAGGCACTGTTCACGCCTGATTCTTATCTTGGCACCAAGCCAAAATTGTAGACAATGCTGTACATAAATAATGCTGAACTTGACTACCCAAGTCTGTGTCAGCATCACTGGGTATTAACTGCAAGTTGGCATCAGTCTGAAATACCAATCTAGGAAATGGTTTTACCTGGGTTGACTTGGGGTGAGAATATATTAGAGCTTAAGGAGCTAAGATATGGATGAGTCTTTTGCCTGCATATGCAGGTCCTTAGTTTGAACTGTGACTAAGCCAGGAAGTCTAAGTAAGCACTTTCACATATGATTTCAAATCTTAGTTGCCAACTTTGAAAAATTGGCATTTTAAATTCTGATTTAGAAGGCTTCGTTACAAAGCTGGTAACCATTGCTCATTGGTTCAGGCAAAATGAAAAATTGTGATTGATTAGAGATTTTCTGGTTTATTTGTAGCTTGTGCAAAGGGTCTGGGCACTCAGGCAAAATCCTTGTTGATCATCAGTTTAAATTGTGGCATTGTCTCAATAAATAATTAAAGCAGGCCAAATTTTCCAAGCAGTAGCATAAGATTTTCATAGCATGTGGCTGTATACTCTGGATAAATGGAAAGCAATATTGTTCATAAAACCTAAAAAAGAAAAGAGATAGATCAGATTTAGAGGGCACACTAAAAGGGAAGTAGTGTGATTTGTGACAACCAGAGTTGTACCAAATGTGTATGATTCCTATGACTCAGGTCCAAGAGCTGAAGTCTTCTGATGGGAAAGAATAAAAGGCCCAAAACTCCCAATTCACATTCATGGAATTAGGAAAATCTAGCCAGAAGTATAGGAGTGAATTCAGACAAATACCTGGCATAATACAGAATAAATGCTTTGCTTTGACATAGTAATCATCCTGCAAATGAGATCAGAATTTGACAGATTCCTTATCCATATCATATTTAAAAGAATTTGAAAGAAGGAAACAAACTAGGATATTTCCTCTTGGCTATATGGGAGTAAGTGATTCAGACTAAAGTAGATGATGCCAAACAAGTGGTCCTATACTGGCCCCTGCTAATATAGCTGTCCATTTAATCCATTCTCCATATAGAACAAATATGGCAATTTTCACTTTGTTTCTGGTTCCATGAAAATTCCATCATAATGAAACTTAAAAATGGCTGTATGTGCTTGTAGCTATTAGTCAATTTCATACTAGATTCCTGACATGTGTATTGGGAGTTGAATTACGTACTTGTGCTGCCATTAGCTATTTTTTGTTCCTTAGATATAACTATCTTAAAAAGGTTATCTAAGAATCTGCCTCTGATAGAAATTGGATATATGGCCTTGCTTTATAGAAAGGGTCTATATTAAATGTTTTTAAAATGCATGGATCCAAAGTAGAGTGGGTCATTGGGATATATATTAATTCCAATTGAGAAATAGAACCGTAGCTGTGAATAACCTCATAGAAACAGCATCTCAGGTGTTATGTGGATGAAACAATTATAGGACTTTCCAAATCATCTCCTGTATAGCAGGGATGGAGAACATGTGACCCTCCAGATATTCTTGGACTGTAGCTCCCATCAACTCTAGCCAGGACAACTAATGGTGAGGGCTGATGGAAGCTGCTGCTCAATAACATATAGAGAACCACATGCTCCCCATCCATGCTATATACAACAGTTATTTGTTGTCCTCTGTGCATGACAATGACTATTGTAATTGTTGTTTTAGACCATCTTCTTTTGTATAGTTCATGGAAGCAGAAGAAAATGCACATTGTAACAAATCTGTCATGGCTGCTGTCTCACTAGCTTTTCTTTTGTTAGAATTTTTTAGATAATTTCCCCAGTAATGACGTCATGTCATTTCTTGCAAGAATATCCCTGCTGTTTCAGATGGTCACTGTGTATCCACTGCTTGGCTACTTGGCAAGAGTTCAGCTTTTTGGACATGTCTTTGGAAATGTTTACCCAAGGTAAAGGCAACTCTCTTTTTCCTCCTAGGACCCATTGCCACTCCTTGCAGCCCTTTTATTGGCCAGACTATCAGTAGTGAGTCGTTGTGACTCACAACTTGGAATCCTTTGCAATTTAGAAGAGGCTCCCAGTGGCTACTAGCCTTGCTGACTATGTGCTGCCTGTGTTACTGGAGGGGACATGCTTGCATATACCTGCTGCTGAGGAACTTGGGCAGGGAGAACTCTTGTACACATTCTGCTTGATGGATCCTATGGGCAGCTGGTTTGTCACCATGTGAGCAGAGTGTTGTGAACAGATGGACCATTGGTCTGATTCAGCATGTCTTTTCTTATGTTCTTATGTACAGTGCTTTGGGGAAGATCTCAGGAAATCGATTCTGTCCCTGCTTGATCTTAGGAGTGGTTGCTTGAAATCCTCTCTTGCTGGCTTTTAAGAGTGAAATAGGGCAGTGAGTGGGGCCAAAATCTTCCTCATCGTGTAAGGAGATGGCATCCCCTCAGTCAGATGGACGTTGTGGCCTGTAAAGGCATTCTGCCAGCTGATGAGCTCTTTTCATGCACTGTGTTGGTGTTGTTGTTCTTCTCCTGGACTCTATATGCATTCATTGAATACCTGGACAGGAGGACCTGTGCATACAGGTTTGGGTGTATATGCAATAGGAAACCATGCCTTTGCGCTGTAGCTGAGAAAGAGGAGCAGCTAATCCTCTGAAGTGACTGTTACCATAAAGGATTTACAGCAGCTGATTCATATGAATTATCTGTCTTTGGAAACTGATTTCACAACATTTACTCCTAAATGGGACATTTCCTTTATAGCTAAGACTCTTTTCATTTAGATTTCTAAGCTGTTGTGGAGAATCCTTTCTGCAAGACCTTTATACATTGTGCATGTCTCAGTTAAGGGGTTGACCTTAGAGGGAAGCATTGATTCTGTGCCTAGACGCCAGGGAAACCCCAGGGAAGCCTGAACTCTTCTTGGATTTTTGGATGTTCTTTGTCGTGGCTTCTGTGCATCACACATACGGGTGCTGCGCCTGCACAGTGCCTAGTCTGGAAGATTAGAAAGCTGACGGTTTTTGGCTGGAAAAAGCTCCGCTCCCCTCCCCTCACAGTATAAATAGAGTGGAGCATCCACCATTTTACTCAGTCTTTGCGACCGCCGTTCACTGTGCCTCGTGCCTGTTCGTCTCTCACTTAGATTTTCGCCTTGTGCTCCTAACGGTTGTACCTTGTTCCTCGTTATATACCAGCTCTTTCTTCTCTTCCTCATTGTACTTTTTTCTTCTATCTCTCTAAAAAACAAAAAAAAAAAAACAAAAAACAAAAAATATTATTCTTACCCTCTGTACTATCATCTCTTTCTTCTTTTTCACGATGGCACAGTGGGTGGCATTCCGCAAGTGCAGTGAGTGTGGCTCCAAAATGTCTCCCGCCAACCCGCATGACTTATGCCTCCTCTGCCTTGGCGAGGGGCATAGGACCGACAAGTGCGGGCATTGCCTGGCCTTTACTAAACAGGCCAGGGAGAATCGTCTCCGTAAGTTGCTTTGGGATCAGGCCTTGCTCCAATCAGACCAGTTGGTCCCAAGGCCTACCCCTTCCTCGGCTGTACCACCGCAGCGCTTCGCCTCTGCTTCAGCCACGCCCTCTAAGCGCCCTGCCTCAACATCGGCTGCGCCACCGCAGCGTCCTTCAGACGAAGGCGCTGCTTCGATGGAAGCACAACAGCTACCTTCTCCTCCAGCTAAACAAAAGGAGAAGCGTGAACATTCAGAACCGGACAGATCCTCCGGGCACAAGAAGCTGAGGAAAGATAAGGCGGCTAAGGTGGCCCATAAGGGCAAGAAACTCTACTGCCCCAAACATCGGGGCTCGGGTTCATCGGGGTTCTCTGTACCGACTGCTGCTACGGTGCCGACTCCCTCGGGACCGGCCCTGCAATTGGTGATGCAGGTGACTCTGCCGGGATCCCCCAGGCCTGTGGTTCGGCCTGAGAGCGTGTCTCCCCCACCGGAGCCACCGCTTAGGGAGTCCATCTCTGATGGAGAAATTAGAGATTCCCCACTGAGGCAACGTTCTCCGACTCCGATGCCTACTGCTGGGCCACCTGAGGGAACACAGTCGCCGCCTAGGGGTAGGAGCCACTCATCGGAATGCCAGGGGGATGACTGGCCTATGCCTGGTTATGACAACTTCCCAGGCTGGAGTGGATGTCCACCCTATGCTTTCTACCCTTGGGACCGTCATTCGCCATCGATCCCGAGAGAGGCGCCGTCCACGTCCGGCCATATGGAACGGAGACCTCCACCTTCTCCTGAGATCTCCTCGTCTAGCGAACACTACCGCTACCACCAGGACTTGGACGAGTCGGAAGTAGACTCCACGTCCCCGGATGTGGCCATCACTTCCCAAGACCCCGGATCCCCGGACGAACCCCATGTTTCCTTCTCAGAACTCGTTTCTCATCTGGTTCGGTTGCTGGAAATAGAGGCCTACCATCATCCCGGCCCCAGCACCCACTGATTTTATGATATCATCCAGGGAGAGCAGTCCGCAACCATTGCCTTGCCTCTTATTACCATGCTCCACCAGGCAATGGTCCAGCCCTGGGATCAACCGGCACAACCACAAGCGATGTCTCGTCGGTACGAGTCTGTGTACCGGGTCAGAGAGGAAGATATTCCATTCTTGCTGCGCCACCCTAAGCCCAACTCTGTGGTGGTTGAGTCATCCCAGGGCAGGGATGCTCGGGGCCATACAACACCCTGAGATAAAGAAGGGAGGAAAGTCAATATGATTGCACGTCGGGTCTATGCTGCTGCAGGACTCAGTGTGCGCATATCAAATTATGAAGCTATTCTGGCACGTTACCAGTACTTCATAATGCAGAAGCTGGATAACGTCTCCTCCTCCCTTCCAGACCAACAGGCAGACCTAGCCAGGGTCTTTATAAAAGAGGTGATGCAGGTGGCCATACAGCAGTTGTCCACCGCAAGACATCATGTGGACACTGACTCTTGGGCCATGGTCAGTGCTATTTCCCTGCGACGACATGCATGGCTCAGGAATTGTAACTTTCCTGAGGAAATGAAGAGGAGGATAGAGGAAATGGCATTTGATGGCACTGGCCTCTTCCACGCGAAGACCGATCGAAAACTCAAAGCCATCCATGAATCCCGTATGACAGCGCTTCGCATGGAGCTCCCACAGACTAAACGTAAGTGGTCATGGTCCAGGCCTTATGGACGCCAGCAGTATCAACCACACCAACAATACCAACAGAGGCAGCAGCGTAGAAGGCAACAGCCCCAAAAGCGCTTCTCAGGGCCATCGGCGCTTCGACTCTGAGAAACGCCCTCGTTGACGGTCCCGGCGAACCAATTGATCTTTCCACCTCCCACCTTTCCCCTCTCCCTTTTGGGAGCCGGCTTCAAAGCCGACTCCCCATTTGGGAGTCCATTACATATGATAGGTGGGTGTTGTCCATCATTCAGCTCGGATATAGAATAGAATTCGACATCGTTCCACCATCGAACCCTATCCGATTTACGCCACCCTCTTTGGTTTTGTGCGAAAGGTGTGATTCGACAACTCTCTCACACCGATGGGCTTCACAGATTCTATTCTTGATATTTTATGGTCCCCAAATGGGACGGTGGTCTTTGACCTATCCTGGATCTGAGGAATGTCAATAGATACATTAAACCAAAAAAGTTCCGGATGACCACCTTACAGAATATCCTTCCATTGCTGAAAAAAGGGGATTGGTTCGCCTCATTGGACTTGAAGGATGCTTACTTTCATATCTCTATCCATCCTTCCCATAGACGCTTCCTGCGTTTTACTGTTGGATCCGTTGTTTTCGAATTCAGTGTACTCCCGTTCGGTCTAGCTACGGCACCGAGAGTTTTTACAAAATGCATGGCCCCGGTATGCGCTCACCTACGGCTTCGGGGTATACAAGTCTACCCCTATTTAGATGATTGGCTCATTGTGTCACAGACTAAGGACAACCTCCTTGTGGCTGGCCATACGACTTGTGCTTTGCTTGATGACCTTGGACTATGCATTAATTTTAAGAAATCGTCACTTATCCCAACACAGGTCATCGATTTCATCGGGGCACGTATCGACTCCATTCTACAAAGAGCATTTCTTCTTCCATCCCGCGGAGCCACGCTGTGTGCCCACATCCATTGGATCCGACGACTGAGGACAGTGCAAGCCGTCACTATACAAAGACTGCTGGGGCACATGGCGGCCTCAGTGGCCATTGTGCCTCACGCAAGACTCAGACTTCGGCCACTTCAGTTGTTCTTCAACAAATCGTTTCACCCTCAATGGGATTTACAAACCAAGTTTCTTCAGATCCCATCCTCAATCCTTCACTCCCCAACATGGTGGACTATTACATGCAACCTATCTACAGGCGTTCCGTTCCGTCCGCCCCAACCGTGACATTGTACACCGACGTGTCCCTCATCGGATGGGGTGCAGTCCAAGGGGCTTGGAACCAGCAAGAAGTGGGGAGACACATCAATTTCCTCGAGCTTCTAGCAATTTTAAACGCTCTCAAATCTTTTGAAACTGTTATACACAGCCAAGTTGTGCAGATTGCGTCCGACAACATAGCTGCTGTCTTCTACGTCAACAAGCAAGGCGGAACGAAGTCTCCGCTCTTGGCCCAATTGTCAATGCAGATCTGGGATTGGTGCGTCCCAAGGGACATAATGCTACTGGCAGTACACCTTGCAGGGACTGACAAGGTAGAAACGGATACACTGAGCAGGCAGATGTCAACGACCCATGAGTGGGAGTTGGACCGGATGATTTGCAACAAACTATTCTAGATGTGGGGATACCCAGACATAGACTTGTTCACTACCCGAAAAAACAGGGTACACGAACTGTTTTGCTCCAGAGCAGGTATTGGACAGGACTTGAAGGGAGATGCCCTCATGATCAATTGGAGCAACCTGTTTTTCTATGCGTTT